TAAGTAAAAGTTTAGAGAGAAGCAACTTTTTGGGTTGCTCCCCTCAAAATCAGAAAATAACGGACAAACAATGAGAACAACATCAACAAAGGAAACAGTTCACAGAAAAAAGGGCAAAAAGCGACGACAACTATACAATAAGACAACATGCAATATAGTTCAGTACGTCAACCTATTGGCGTATATAAATTCGTTAATATTTTTCCCATTAGTAGTGACTGCTTGTGACAGGAATTCAGTTGGTATTTTGTAAAAGCATTGCATCGCACAGTAATTTTACTCTGTAATGTGTATACCTTTTGTGGATATATGTACCCGATTCTCTCAACAATATTCAAATAAATAAATAGCTTTATTCTAAACAAAATTTTTACACAGTGTACAGAATTCTCAACGTAATTTACTGCGTAATATTTTCTCTTCATCCAAAATCTTCAAGTTAAAACAGTGACGCAATGCTTTTAGATCTGAAGCACAGATTATGATATTTTTTTTCCTTCGTTCCCACGAAATGCACACTGGCGGGTCTTTGATCATAGGTGCCTGCGTTCTATTTCCGTGTAAAGTGGCATAATAAGGTGAGCAACATGGAGGTTAGGCGTAAAGTTCTAGGTAAACAGGGGAAATCAATCGACGAAGTCGTGAAGCTACAAAGACTGAGATGGTTAGGACATGTGTTACGTATGCCAAGCCATCGCCTCCCTCGACGAGCAATGTTAGCCGATATAGGGTCAGACTGGAAAAAAGCTAGCGGCGGTCAAACAAAAACTTGGCATCAGTCAATGAAATCCACAACAGTTGGTCTAAGCCACGTAGAAAGGTGTAGACTTCCAGGCTGGGGTCCTCGGGACGGTAAAAATCTATGGTTGGAAACAATTGGTGACATGGCTCAAAATCGTTCTCAGTGGCGCAGATGCATCCACTCCTTGTGACTTATGATCTCCAATGAAACTGTTTTGTATTTCTTTATTACTCCTTTGTCTCACACCTCTGCTCACTGTTTCTATTATGCTTTTCTTGTACTTTCTTCTCTTGCTTTGTGTGCTACAAGGAGGGAGTGTGGCGACTTGAACTTCCGCACATTTGTGCAAAGTTCTATGTCGAAAACAGACAGACAGGCACACTGGCGGCAGTTTGAAAGCCGATTAAAAATATGTGTGAGTAAATTTTGCAACTCAAGAACACAATTGAATGGTTAAGACAATAAGAATTAGAGAAAATATGATGCATTGTGTTAGGTGGCCCAGTGATTTAAGCAGGCCACTCATATGTATGTGACAAAAGGAAGAAGATACTGAAATGGACAAGCTATGAAACAGATTGGTGTTGTATTTAGACTCATTGATTGGTCATTCTGGAGCACGCAATGTCATGTCTAGCTTTTAGTGCTAACTGAATTTTGTTATTCAAGTTTGGACTGCAGAGATGATGAAGCAGGAGATTTCTAATTGCAATGAACAATTATTATTATTATTGTTATTATTATTTATTATTGTATCCTTTAATTCCCAGAGGAACATAGGGCTTCAGCTGCGCATTTCCATTGCCTTCTGTTTTCTGCCAACTTTTTCATCCTGCTCCAAGTCTGCCTACATGCTTTCATCTCCTCTTCACATGCAATGCACAATAAATGGGAGGAAACTATTGTCCCGCGTATATTGAAACGTACCAACTAGGCGTATCTGCAACCTCAAGTAAACCGGTATCATCCAAGAAATACGAGACCATTGGATCGGGTCCCAGTGGCTTAATGGTATGCGAGCTCGCCTTGTAACCAGAAGGTTCTGGGTTCGAATCCCGGTGGGTGCGTACTGCTAAAGAGTTCCGAACCAGGAGGAAACAGCTGTCCAGTACCCCAGGTTTTCAAATGGTTCTCTACCTAATATCAGCTCATGATGAAATCCTTTAACTAATCAAATCTCTACAAACCAACACTTGAAAATACGAAACCATGTTACTCACTTCATACTCCAATAGCTCGGTGTTAATGTATTTTACTTCTGCACTGAGTAACATTAGTTTAAATTTCTGACGAGTGTGAATATAAACAAATATCCATAGATTCCTGCTAACTGCTACCGCCTACTCAACACAGATTGAGAACTGGAAACATTTGTTTCCCGATACGAATTAAAAACAAGCAACAAAGGTTAATAAATGTATGTGTAAAACTTGGGCACTGTGGTAGTAAGTAATTCCATATTAGTTTGTTTATTAGATGTATCACACAGCGAAACAGTATTGTATACTGGATGACGTTTCGAACACAATTTATTGTTCATAATCATATCAATTGTGGTCACACGACTTTGAGATTTGAGTTTTATAGTTTTCGTTGTCGTCTCCTATTTGTCGTATGGGCAGTAGAATTTTCCATATATCTGGGACAGGTGTTGAATCGTTTCTATTACATGTATTTGCCGTTGATTCGATAAACAAAGCTTCTGTTATCAATCTCTCCCTATACCCTGTGACATTAGATTTTAAAACTGTCATCCTATCCCATCCTATTGTGTGGTTGTGTGTAACTGCATGTAGTGAGTGGTATAGCTGAACTATTCTCTAGATTTCTTATCTTATTTGGGTCAACCAATCTAGATTTAGCTAAGTTTTTATGTTCGGCTAGTCTGACTGCCCCTGTTCTACTAGTTTGACCTATGTATTTGACCTCACAATCATTGCAGGAGGTATTAGATAAACTAAATTGTTTTGTTTTAATGGCTCCACAGGATCCTTTAACCGACAAAGCTTGTTTCTAATTGAGTTTGTGGGTTTGAATGCCAGCCACTTTTATTCCTGCCTTGTTAAGTATTCTGCGTAAGGCTTCCGAGGTTCCTTCCTTGTATGGAATTACTGTTGATGATTTAGCTTCCTTATTGTTGGTGTCGTCATTAATATTATTATTATCACTATTATTATTACCATTATTATTATTATTATTATTACTATCATTACTACCACTATTATCATTATTTATTTTATTTTTACATTTACTTACATATTTCTTGACTAATTTATCCGGGTAATTATTAGGTTTCAAGGCTTCTTTTATGTGTATCACTTCCTGTTTTAGATTTTCCTTGGTTAATAAAACAGGGTTTAATGAATTCATTAAATTTTAGTAGAACTCTTCAGCCGAGTACTTTGCATATATATATATATATATATATATATATATATACCATTAGAAACATATTGGGAGATATAAGACTGTTTTTGTAATAAAGCAAATTATTATTATTATTATGATAAGCAAATAAACTACATTGAATTAATCATGCAAAATGACGGGTGTGAATGTTTTTCATGTCATGTTCAAACAGATAAGGGGAAGGGAGTATGAGAGATTAAAATTAAGACGAAATTCATGACAGTTGAATTACATCAGCAAAAGAACTTAAATACTTCAAGAATTGCCAACTGGGTAATATTCATAATAATAATGTTGAAATGAGTTAAGATAATGCTACTCATAAAAGATAGTTTTAAATGAATCAGGAATAATAATAAAAGGTAGTGTTAATAATATTAATAGTAATAATAATATCAGTCACTAAGTAAAACATATTACCATGGTAGAATCACACTGACGACCGTTACCTTTTGTACACAGAGACCTGGTTTATAAACTCTGATTGCACAAGCCTCTGCAGTTGCAAGCATCTTCCTTTTTGTTTGTCTGCTGACAACAATGACTGACTTGATAGCATCGATACCATATTCGTAGTCGACAAGGTGTTTTGTTATTGAACTTTTTGGCACTTTGACTTCAGCTGTTTTCAACCTTGTTTTGGCAAATGCTCGATCATGCGAGTAGACAATCACCTTTCTGTACGACCTACGTATTTGCTTCCGCAAATACACTCAAATTGATATACACAGTTTAAAGCGTAAAGGATTGGCGATCGGTGTTTTCCAGATTGTTTAGGTTTTGAAAAAGTGTATACACATTCTGGCTTTTAAGGTTAATAAATGGTTCCAAAGTCATCTGTTTTTTATTTTTCCACTTACCGCATATAAAAAATTACCTTTCTTTTATCTCTGTGTATAAACTATTCATTATACTTTGCTCGTACTTTGCCTTCTCTGATCCAATCCAACTTCATTCAGTAGGCTTAACATGATTAATACTTCAGCCTAAACAAGATTATTTCTGTTAGTATAATTGTAATAAGGGTAAACAAGTATAGAAATAATAAACATATCTGGTTATCACCAATTCGTATGCGAAAAAAACTTTCTATGGGTTTACCTTTTTTCCCAAACGATTTGGTGATAGCCAGATATGTTTATCATTTCTATATTTGTTTATCTTTCTATGGTTTTTTGGTTGGTGGTTCAGTGGTAGAACTCTCGCCAATTGTATAAGTGATCTGGGGTTTGATCCCTCGGCAAACGCACTCCCAAACCTCGCTCGCGCTTATCCGGTGGTAATCAGGCCGGTAAAGAGAGAAGGTTGGGTGAAAATAAAACCGCTGCCACTGAAATTTTCAAAGCTCACCACGGAAAGTAGAGGAATAAAAAACGGCCTTCTTAAAGTTGTATAGTTCAAACCGAAATCTTTGGTTCCCTACTCTATTCATATGGCACTAATCACAGTTTACAATAACAGAATTTATATTTCGTAGTTGTATCGACGAATTTCACTGAAGTAGAGTGTTGCTAGTTATCGGTCTGCTCACGAATCTTTTAAAGAATGAGAATCCTATCGTTACAGGTTCACTTTTGTCGGGTAGCTGTTTTGTCTCTTTGGGATTTAAAATTTCCTTCTGCCCTGTTGTGAAGTTTCAGTGTCAGCATTACACTCAAGTTTCAAGGGTGCAGTAGCTAGTCGAAGAGTACTACATTACTTTATTACTTTCATTCTTAATCATCTCATATTAGTTTACTGACCACTAAGGGTACAAGTATTTCAGCAATACAAAACAGCATTTTTTCCAGTTCATATAGTTCTTTATTTTCAACTGAAAACTATAGTTTTGTTGTGTATCTATTTTCAGCATCTGAAATGGAAGCGGACAAATTGGAATATGAGAACTTACGCATCATACATAGACAAGCATATCGCTCTTCTCCAGATGCGGTTAGATCACAGCACAATTCTGACTCCAAGTCATTTTTACCAAACAGCTCATTTGACAAACCTAGTCCGCAAATAAATTTCAAACCCAAGCACTCATTTAATTTTTCTCCTGTTACTGATTCATATGGATCTCACCTTGGCGCAGTTGCTAGATTGGCTATCGATGGCGGACTTACTACTGATCAACTGCTTCAAATAGGATCTTCAGATGTAAACCAACCTGGACATTATTTATATCGTTCAGCTACCCAGTGTGATCAAAAAGAAGTGGTTCCAGATTCAAAATATAACCTTTCAGATCCACGGATCACAAAGCTTTTGACCTCTCACTCTTCACTCCACTCACATCCTTGTCGTATATCTCCTCGAGGAACTAGAAGACCCGTCTTTTATAGCTCTAACCAGTCTGTTCAGATTATCAGAGGCTCTGGTGTCACTGCCGCATATGATCAGTCACGCGTTACTGTTTCTCCCAGTCATACATCTGTTGGTCATCATCGGTTATCTCAGTGGTCTGCATCTCGTGATAATCCACATCATATTAGTGGCAGTAACCGTGTTTCCTTTCCGCTCAAATGACTCGTGTTGGCGGACTCGTTTTCAGTACTGGTTCATCAAACCAGGGGTCTGATAATGCGGATATGAGCCCGGTTGAACAGAATATTTCTTCTACTAAGCCTTATCAGTCAGTATCTGCTTGTACTTCTCCCACCAATTTAAAACATACTGTGTCCTCTCATTCTCCGTCAACTTCCTTCTTTTCTTGTTCAAATGTTCCTAGTCCATCCGAAACTCCACCTCTAGTTTCTACGAATGTCACAGACAATGTAGGAACTACAGATATAGTGCGTTTAGGACCAGGTAATGTTGTTACTCGTGCCGCAGCTGGTTCAACTGTGTACAGTCCATCGAGTTTAATCCGAATGCATTATTGTCCGCAGCCATATGTTGGGATGGGATTAACTGGAGCTCCATATGTTCCGGTTGTGTCTACACTCACAATCTCTAATTTGAATGTCCCTTCACCTGTATTATCGGATGGAAGTGATTCTTGTTTATGTTCAAAACCTACCATCAATTCGGAACCTAATATTTCAACTGCATACTCAGATCTGGGTACAACGAGCACACCTGAACCAGTTTTCCCCTGTTCAAGTAAGCAATATATATATAATGCAATTTACCAATCTAGTAGTGATAAGTTTTTCTAGTGGCCGATTGTTAATGTCAGCTTGTCCAAGGGGAAATAATTAACCAAGAAAATGGGGCCAACAGTCAGTTGGTGGAGAGAGCTACATTGTAAAGTTGGGAAAATTAAAATACTGAGTTTGTATGATAAAAAATAAGAAGAAATGAGTGATTGAATTGTTGAGATAGGATAATAGTGGTCAAATAATAAACTTTTACATTTCCGTGAATATGACCAAGGCAAAGAAAGTGACTGTGAATTTCTTCGGAAAATTCAGGGCTGGTTTTTTTCAGATGGATTTTAATGGCTTCTTTTTCATGCAAAAGACGAACTCGTGAAATAAAATGAAGATTAATAGGAATGCCACTATTAACTTTAGGAACTTTGATAATATCTATTGCATTCAGTATTTTGGAGAATCAAATTTATCTGTCCATCACATAACCATGCTAGGTAATCAAGCAATATCAAGGCGTGTTTATAAGACTAGACACATATGTCCTGTCTTAAAAGTTTTACTTATTTTATCATCATAATGTTAAGTGTTGACTGCCAAAATTTCCTATCATTGTATATCATTTAATCATTATAGCATCTTCCCCAAGTCCTACAGAAATGTCTCCTACAATAATAAACCGACCTGGACCGAAGCGGAGCTATGTGGATCCCACTCTGCGGTCTTCAGCGCCAGTACCATCCACAACTCAATACCAACCCACCATTGGAAAGTGAGTTACTATAACTAACCTTATAATCGTTATAAAATCTTTGAAAGCTTTCCAGCTTGAAATCACTATGCTTTATATAAATGTAGATATATTTTGAGAAACGCAAATTCAGTGGTCTGTCAAGTATACGCAACTATTATAGTCTTTTGAGTTTTTGAATGTTTTCAGGTTAAGATATTATTCCATGTTACACAGTGTCACATTTTCCCTTGTAAAGATTCAAATTTCACACACGTCTATGCTTTAAATTCATTCACTTATTTAACAGTGGTAGTTGTCATTACAATGAACGAAGGAAAGCTCCCCAGATGAATTTAGATATTAGATTATGATTTACTTTTATAGTATTATGAAAATTGTTCTGTTATGAACACCCTTCAAACTGACTCTTGAAGATTAATCTGTTAGTCGCTAGTGATTGGCTACAGGATGAAGTCGACTTGAGTTCTAGTGAGAAGTCGTGACCATTGGGGTCCACCTAGTTGGGAGTGAAGACATAGACTCGTCGATGACACTGGCTGATGATCGCGCTAAAACCACAAATTAGTAGAAGTTGGAATTCATGGGCTATTGAATCGGGTCCCAATGGCTGGATAGTTCACGAGCTTGCTTTGTAACTGGAATGTCCTGGGTTCGAACCCCTATGGTGGGTGCGTACTACCGACGAGTCCCACACTAGGACGAAACAGCTGTCCACTACTCTCTGGTTTTCAATTCTTCTCCAATTGATATCAGTCTGAGGTCAAACTTTAGGGATTGCATCTCCATGTACTTTCGTAATCAGTTATTTATTACACATCAACAGTTTTGTAGTTAAATATCTAATTTAACCGTGATTACGTCATAAGTGAATCAATACAGATTAAAAGAGAAGTATATTAAGATGGCCTTGAAATTTGTTTCATATCGAGCGATCATAGGCTCCAATGCATAAATGCTACAGCATTTCTCTGCATTGGCGGTTCAAAGGTGAAACACTGACCAACCAAGTATGTGATCCTGCGTTTGATACCCAGCTTGGCGCACTGTTTTACCCCTCTTAGCTGTTGCCAGAAATCCCGGTAGAGAAAGAAGGAAGGAAGGTTAGGTGTGAGGCTAGCGACCCCACCCAGCAAAAATCACCACTGCTACTGGAAAAATAAAACAAAAATAAGAAGCACTGAATGCATGTTGTATCCGTCTGCATACATGCTGACTGACGACGTAAACTGTGTTAAGATTATTTGGCACCATATCAAATAGGCGATAAAAATATAGATACGTGTTTATTAATTACGCTCTATTAATTTATCTTTGACATTCTAATATCGTTTCTTTTGTGTGTGTGTGTGTGTATGTATTTACTTCTCCTCCTTCCATTGCGTTCTTCTTCAACCTCGTACTATTTTTATTCTTTTCATAAAATTAATTTATTGATGTCTATTGCTTTTTCTTGTCAAAAAATGTAGTAAATAAAGGTCATTATTTCTTTTTTCTGTGCTAGATAGATTCTGACTTCTTTTTTTCTAAATTATCCATTTATTTCATTTTTTTGTTTCTTATTTTTAAATAAACTTTTTATACTACACAATACACCAAAAATTGTATTTCTCTTGATCAGATTTATTTTGAATTTTAAAAACAAAACAAATCCCCTTCCTACAGCTACTACTATAACTTCCACTAAGGCTAATTCTATTTATCCCGCGTTTTCCCCTTCTTTTTTCCACTTTTTTTATTCCTCTTTTCACTATGTGTGTATCGTCACTTTTCTCTCTCTCTCCCTCTCCTGTTTTAGTCGCTTACTTGGACACACTTTTCTTTTACTTGTTGATATTTTTTTCGCCTTCTACTATCACTACTACTACTACTAATAATAATAATAATAGTACTAATACGAATACTACTGTTCCCATCTTCCAGTCTCCTATCGATTGACCTGTCATCTGATCCGTATTGTTATGTGTATATGCATACGTACGTACGTATGTATGTATTAAATATTTAAACTTTCACTTATTATATAAATACCATAAGTGTATTTATTGGTTGAAACAAAGTTTTCTTTCAAAGAGGTTGTTACTGTTGTTGTTGTCGTTGTTTAAAGGGGATAAATATAACACTATTTTTTGGGTGTGTGCTTTATGCATTGATTTTTGGACATTGGAGCGTACACACATGCATGCATGCATAAATATGCGCGCGCGCATAATTAACAAGAATATTTTTAGTCAATTTCTATTGTGCTATTATCCTACACATTATACTACGATTATGCCATATTTTGAGGGTCAAATATTTTTTATTATAATAGGATTTCTACTAGTAATAGTAATAAACGTCTTAGTGTTCTTTTCTTCTTCTTCATTCCTTCACGTTCCCCAGTGGAACATAGGGCTTCAAGGTAGAGGCTTGAAGTTTCTATAGCAGTGGTGTTTATCTTTACAGGATGGAGTTGCTAGCCTCATGCCCAACCTTTTCTCTTTACTAGCTTTATTACTGCCTTAGCGAGGTAAAGGAGTGCGTTGGCGGCCGGGGATCGAACCCCGAATCACATATGTGGTCGGTGAGCATTCTACCGCTGTGCCACCGACGCTCATAGTGTTCTTACTACTCATTTAAACTGTTTGCGATATATGTGCGTCGGTGGCACAGGGGTTAGGGCTCTCGCCGACCATGCACATGGTCCGAGGTTCGATCCCCTGCCGACGCACACCCGATATCTATGGTCGGCCTGCAAAATTTGGGCTACCGATATCCATGCTGAAAATTCCATACTTGTACCAAATATATATATATATATATATATATATAATATATAAACAGCGCCAATCGGCAGAAGTCAAAGTTCATGGGCCATTGGATTGGGCCCCAATGGCTGAATGGTCTATGAGCGCTCTCCTCGTAACCGGAAGGTCCTGGATTCGAAACCCGATGACTCTGTCCCAAAATTAGGATTGAACAACTGTCTGGTACTCTATGGTTTTCCAATGGTTCTCTGATTGATTGATATTATCTCGTGATCAAACCTGTATCCAACTCAAATTATTTCAAATGATATATTTGTAGTAACGTGAAAGTGTAAAAATAAGTTGTTGCCCTCTTGTCACGCATTATTTCTTATTGCCTGCAATTAGACGTTTCCGTGATCTTGTATAGTTTAAGCATCATAATACGTAAGATACACAGCATATTGGAATCACATGGTGTTAGCTGTGTTGTAAAGTTTTCAATTACATACAGCTGAATGCAAAATCTTCAATTTAATGTTCAAAGACTTAGAGACATCGCTCAAAATTTTTCTCAATGACTCAAAGGTATTCACTCTTTGTGATCTACTATATCTGATAAACCCTAATGTTTTCCTATGTTACTATTCTTTATCCCTCAGTTTTCTGCTTATTATAGTCTTTTTGAATCCATTTTTTCCTCTTTTTTGACTTCCTTTGTACGCTACGCGAACTGTGACAACTTGAACTGCTGGCACTTCAGCTCAAAGTTTTATGCGTTGAAACTCAGTCCGTTAGTCAGTCAATATCTTCATTGTGCTTATGAAATCCATTTTCCTTCATAAGAGGATAAGTCTTAACTCCGTAATACATGCTGCTTACTTTGTTTACACTTTTGTTTTGATGTGTATCGGTCTATTTAAGGTTCCATGACTCCAATTGTAAATGACCAAATCTAATTAATTCTGGAAGTTCAGAAGAAGGGAACCATCGAAAACCCAACGATTTTTTATCATATAAGGTTGGAAAAAGAGGCACCGTAAATGTTGTAAACATGATTTTATACGCTGGGATTATCGAGCTTCTAGAAGTGTACATGAGCATTTATCAAACCGTTGAAAAGAGAATTTCTCTTACGTTAAAGAAAATACTAGGGCATATTTGCATTCACAGGATGTTCAATGTGCAAAACAGTGCAAAACGTTGTGATAGACAATAATACTCATAGATGCCAAAATCAAATGTTGCGAAATTCTCATAATTCACTTATATAGTTAAAATGGCAATGAAATCTTGATGGTGTAAGCGTCTTACTGTAAAAACACAACACCATATAGTGAGAAAGTTTAACGTCATTGTCGAATGCGGAAGGATGACATTGTGCCTTCAAAAAACAATTAATGTATAAAAGTTGAAAGTAAGGAACTCAATTCATTCTATACACGCATTTTTATGTACTAAACTCCTAGTTACATACTACCTAAGAATGCATAATACTATCGCATTACTTAAATGGAATGAGGTTTGAACACGGAATCAGTTTTTTGACATTCACATATTTAATTCCACAAAATACACATCCATGTATAATTTTATGCTTTAAAGCGTTTTGAAATATTTAAACTGATGAAATATTTGGGACAAGGAAATAGTCAACGAGGATCATGATACTTGTAAGTTATAAAATTAAAGGTATTATGGGGAACCAACGAAGAGCAGTGAAAATTTTAACATATTCGTTTAAACACACAGACACCCTTAATGCACTATTTTGTAACAAATTCTTGTATTTCTTTGTATATATATATATATTATATATATTCGTACGCTAATCAACATACGTTGAACTTTTCAAATCCTTCCTAGCTCTGTTACTGATACTCCTCACCTACCTCATCCAAAACCTTTCAATTCTCATAATTCACCAAGTTCACAAGTGGCTCGAACAGTGAGGCATCTTCGGCGTATTCGGCATATATTCGGTGATTCTGTAAGTAATTTAAGTAAATTTTTTTTAACGATTTATTATTGTAACCTTATCATTCCCTAAAGTCTACTCACATTCATTTTTTCAGTTAATTCACTTTAGAAATTAAACCAGGTATTTTTAGTGGCCAGATTATTGTAAAACAGTTCCCTAAGCTGATTACGTTTTTCTAAATTTTGCCTTAAGACTGATCCTTTGGTTGTTGGCTCACCTGTTCATATCTTACTCCAACAAACAGATCTACCCTCCTTAGAAGTACATAAATTCAAGGCGTCTCATTTTAAAACAACAGACATAAGAAAAATCAGCAGAAACAGAAGAATGCATACCTCATTAACATTGATCCGATCAACAGTTGGAAACTTCATGGACCGGTGCCTTGTTGTTATCTGACCACTCATAACTCTGTATAATCTAACCTCATTGTAGATAAGTTGACTCCTGCTGGAAGGCGGTGACGATCTATGTGCAGCATATATCCTAAATAGTGAAAATCCACTACCTCACGGACTGATTCATATTTCTTAACCAGAACATCTCGTCGTATTTCTCCGTACTGCCGTGCAGTACATTTTCGCTTTGCTTGGTAGCCATATATATATATATATATATATATTATTGCCATCAACCGAGATGATGCGATTCGGAAAATACTCTATTAACCACATATCCATCTGACCTGCTAACTGTACATAGTTTCTTTTCACTTCACAATGGGATTTTAAAGCCTAATACAAAGAACAACTAGATGTTGTTGTATGTGTTACTGTCTTTTAATCCTTTTGTTTTTCTAAGTTTGATCTGTTGAAAATCTGAATGATCATATTTTTTAACCTTTTAGTACATGTTTTCTTACCTTACCTTATGTATGTATACATGCTTTGATGTCCTACTTTGGGTTATTGGCAAGTAAATGAAATAATGTTAAATAATGATTTTATTTACTTGTTTTCCCTTCCTGTTTTGGGATTTCGAAAAAAAATGGGATGTATCTGGTTGAAAGCAGTTTTTGTGATGACATGTTGCTAATGTGGTGTGCTTTGAATTGTACTTGCACAAGATTATAAGGTAATAATCACGTGTTCAAAATTCACTTTTGTGTAAAATATTCAATGTGTAAAAACCTGAATAATTGACAGATGTTTTATTTGTAATTTTTTTTCAAACTTATATATAACAACTTTTTTCGGTCTAATTGTACTTTTATTGTTATTATTATTATTAATATTTCATAGTTTGGATATACCAGTTCCGCAACGTCTGCTTCAACAGGTGCACTTACAGATGAAGATAAAGATTCTGTTTGTTCACCTAAAGTTAGTCAACTACGATCTCATGGATATCATTCAGTTGAGTCAGTTAGAGGTTCAAGTTCACTGTGTGATTGCTCTCCAGATCGGATAACAGATAGTAATGATAAGAAGTCGAACAAAACCTCCTCTAATTCTCATACATCATATCCTGTGATTGCATCAGTCTATTGGAATGACTCAGAGACAGAGGTTAGTCTTATTGTTACTGTGGTTTTAGTTAGTTTCATATTATTTTTCTCTCGACAGTTGTAAATTCTGCGCTTGCAGATTTATTTACCAAACTTTTGTTCTGTATTTTACTTGTGCCATTATCATAAATCGGCTTACAATTCACTCTACTGTAGGTCATAGATCCCCAAACTAACCTGGGTAATTCAAATTTTCAATTTACATAATTCGAGGAGAAATTTCACCACCTTCCTTGGAAACTGAAGTTTTATTCAGATCACAATATGTGATCCGCTTGATACCATGAATATGGTAGTTGCGAATGCGTGCATAACTGTAAAATAAAATCAGGTACTTCTGATTGATTGCGATGATTAGTTGCATCAACGAGCAAATTGCAAATTTGATTTATGCGATTACCAGTTCGCACAAGTAACCAACCAGAAGTCGGGTGGTTAAAATTAATTCAGCTCTCTGCTGAGTTAAACTGATGTGCTCGGCCTCAAATGAGCGAAACAGTCGTCTGGTATTCACCACTTCACATCTATCTGGCTAGCAAGCATTGCTGGTTGATGTGGGCTGTACATAAAACTACTCGCTCCAAATAAATCAGTAGTATATAGTCTTATGCAATTATGCCCTGTAAACTGTGTATTCTGATTTTCCAGCTCTCCGTGTATAAACTGTGTTGTTTAGCTAGTGGGAATGAATTTATTTTTTGCTTACTCTGGAAATAACAATAATCAAGTGTAAAAGTGATCAAGGTTCTATAAGATGAAATTATTAATTGCTTTCCTTTTTTTGCATGATTCCATCATTGTCTCCAAAATATAATCTCTTGCATAGGAAAAATCCGATAACATGCTTCAATAATTATAAGTCGTATCTGTCCTAAGATGCCAATCCTAGGAAAAGCTCCAGCTTATCCAGTATATCACCTGGTTACAGGAAAAGATATATTAGACTTGTTAACGGACTTTTGTTAAGGAAAAACATATTTATACATTCTTTGCCACATTAATGTCTGGTTAGGTCAGAGGAGAATAAATTGTTCCGATTGGCTGGTAATCAACCCAAGGTTAAACAAAAACTGCCCAATGAGGTCATTCCGTGTCCAGATTTGAGGAATAAACACTTCTACCTGTACAGCCATTGGACTTGAAATGTTGATTTCAATTTTGATTGGCTTCCTATCAATCTGCATCGCTCTACAACCCAAGTATCTAATCGAATAGTTTATCTGTGAAAAGAAATCACATCGATGAACCTAGTCGTATTTTATTATTTATTCTGTAAAAATACTCTGGCACTTTTATGCCTTTGTGTGTGTGTAAATAAGTAATACTTTATATAGACTGTTGCGGTCAATTATAATGATGTGAACTATTTTATCCGCTTTGGTCAATGTGTTTTCGTCTGTACACTAAATTTCCGGAATCATTTAGGTGTATGTAATGGTTATGTGCAATGCAGAATAATGCAATCAAAACACCTCTAGTAAAATAATATAAAATTCTTTTCTCACTCTCCATACTGTTTTCTGAAAACTTTTAACAAATGGCTAAGAAAAATAGATAGACGTATTTTGTACGTAAGATTTTGGAAGATTCACTTTATTATTTCGGTGTTTTAATGTAGGGACATGACATAAAGAAAGGAATTACTAATAGGTAACATCGAAATGTGCGTCGGTGGCACAGAGGTTAGGACGCTCGCTGACCATGCACATGGTCCGGGGTTCGATCCCCGGCCACCGACGCACACCTTCACCTCACTAAGGCAGAAATAAAGCTGGTAAAGAGGAAAGGTTGGGCATGGGGCTGGCAGCCCCATCCTGTAAAAATAAACACCACTGCTACAGAAACTTCAAATCTCTAGCTTGAAGCCCTATGTTCCACTGGGAACGTGAAGGAGTTAGTAATAAATAATATAGTAATAATAAACATCGAAATAGGATTAAAATAACCCCTTTTTATACAATCAGATAACAATGTCAAATGTTCCATGGGTTTGTTAAAGGGGAATTGGATATATGATGAACACAGTTGCATAGTAATCGAGAGGATTTACAGTTCAGGTGTTGGATGTGTATTTGATGTGGGTGTGCTCTCTTAGCTAGGCAGCTTAAGTGCTATACTTTGATTATCCTTCTAGAGACAACATTTCTAGCACTCACTTCACATTGAATTTAAACTGCTCGGCTAAAAAAAACTCAAAACAAAATATCAAAAACAACTACATAGTATTATAGAAAATAATTTAGGTCAGAATGTGATGATAAGCGGTTGGCAGAGACGACGATGATCCCATTCTTAGTGAATAGTTTGGTAAAAACACATTTCCCTGTCAAAACTGACCAACAGTTTTTTAAAGATAAATTGATGTACAAGTCAATGTGTTTGAAATCATGTCATCGAGCATATCGGTATTGACCAAGTGGTTATTAAGTGTGTGGTCGTATTATTGATTTTCTGAGTAAAATTATCTTGAAGTACTATTCTTAGGGAAGGTAGACTTTTGCAATAGTTACATTACTCTTCGTTTCTATACTTTTGTCAATAATAAGTTTATGCAATCCATATTTACTACTTTGCACTATGTGTAGAGGATTACTTTCTTCATTTACTGTTTGATAAAAAAGATGGTAAACATTCAGGATATCATTCACTGCGGTTTGGGTCATTTACCTTGGTGTACATTTGCTTAGAAGCTTGCTGAAATGCCTGAGATGTATTCACAGTCTGCCACCTATGAAGGTTATAAACATCTACATAACTCTAAATTAAATTATTTTTTCTCCTATACGAGTTTGTACATTGTGTTGTTATTCTACTTCTATCCTCTACTTTTTATGTGGTATTTTGGGTCGATAGTGTAGGTACAATCAATTTTGTCACCGACTCTGCTGAACCGTTTTTTGTTCTGTTGCGTTGCGAGTGGAACGCAGGATTTCAAACTTGAGCTTTCAAGTTTTGTTAACATTGGTGTTTATTTTTTACGGGTTGGGGTTGCTAGCCTCATACACACACAGCCTTCCCTCTTTTCTGAGCTTATTACCGGCTAAGCAGAGTTTAGAAGTGCATCAGTCGGGGGTCGAACCTTGGACTATGTGCATGGTTAACGAGTATTCTACTACTGAACCACCGACGCCCTCTTTTGGACCTAATTGCTGGTTGTACTTCTTATCCGAAATGATTTCAATGTTATAAATCAAATCCACAATTTGCAATCTACACAGTTTGATTGGTGAAGTTTCACTATAGTTTCTTTTGGAAACCAAGCACTACCGGTTGGTATGAAAGTGGTGCACAACTACTTATCTCAATTAATAAGTAGTATATGGCCTTGGTATTATTTTTTATAAATTAATTGTAAATACGTTGGTAAAGCCTATCATAATCTATTGTGAGTTATTATTTTTTTGTTTTTCTTGTCTCATTTTAAAGGTTACCAAGAAATCATTACTATGGTACAATTATCAAGTAACATTATCATGTCAAACTTTAGTCTTAACACGGGAGAAAAGTTCAAGTCAGGTGAATTAATACTGAATTGAATTCATCTTGTTGTTTTTGTTCGTTCATTAATCTACGCGTAATGCCATATAATATGAATTTTGCAGCTTACCCTTTTTCCTACCTAGTGTTTGTTTATTTATTGCTTATATAACTGGCTGGCCCCTACATGTGTGTGTGTGTGTATACACAGACAGGTGTTTGTTTTATAAACTGATTAAATTAGAATTCTAGTATTTACACTGTTAGAAAATCTACCAATAGTTCTGTTGTTCCCCTTTGTTGTTATTTTCCTCATTTACATACATAATAAACCAATACAAAAGAAAGTATATACTTAGCCAGGATACAAAAGGTGGTAGTGTTTGTTTGTTTGTTCTTTTTTTCTTCTTGTTGCTATTGCACAAGTATGTTGTTTTACAAGTATTTTCCACCATTGATTTTTATGCGTTTCATGTCGAATAGGCTACTACTTTATGATATAATAAGCTTGAGGTTTTTTAAATGCAAAACTAAGGTTATCATATCTTCGTGATTTAATAAGTGCAGAAAAGTACTTTAAGGTAGGAAGTAGATATTTTAGTGATATATATATACTCTCACACACACCTTATCTGCAGACCAAGGTAATTTCTTGCTCCGGATAAATTCACATTTATTCCGAAAAAAGATACAGCCTTATTTGTTTTTAGTCCAATTTTGATCCCCGGTTGATTGGTCGGGCGGAAATGTTCGACCTCTATTCACATTTCGGCTCCTAGTGCGGACGCTTCGACTGTGTCCTAGGATTAACCTGCAGTTGGACAAGAGGCGGCTGTCGTGGTCTTTGGCGTCTGAGACGATAGACACTAGGCCCGAATCTTACAAGGAACACCATCACTTATTGGAGAGAGAGGTACATCCGGCTGACGAGCCTCAAACAGGATGAAACGCACATCCTGGATTCCATTGTTAACTACCATTAATCAGAAAGAAGCAAACATTAGGAGTTTGGTTTCTCGTTTTATGCCTCAGAAACACTTTGTTCTTCATACTGATAGAGTGTAGTACTATTTTTCCCAGCTTTTTTCAAGTCATTGTTTACATTAATTTTTTGTATGTAAATGATACTGTGTGAATTAATTAATCAGTGATTTTTCCAATGCACTTCATTTTTCTCCTAATAAATTTTTATTATTTTTTTTAATTTCGTTCTATCATCATTAGGTTGATCCTAACGATAGTCTAGATCATGTGCATATTCCTTTACCTGGAGAAAGTATTGTTTGGCATGTACTGAATGAATTGCCTGATTTAGTCTGTCCATCTTCACCTTCTCATTGTGATCGTGAAACTGGAATTGTCGGCATATTGAACAGTACAAAGTTGAATTTAACATGTTATTTGCATTTTCCAAATCGTCAAATAGCTTCTTGTATATTTGATCATCTTGGGCCACAGAAGACTATGGAAGACTGTCAAGGGGTAAATTTTCTTTTTCTCCTTTCAATATTATTCGTCAATTCTTCTGGTTCGATTATTATATCTCACTTGCATTTTAATGTCTCAAGTTTTTTTTAAATGTTGTTGAAACCATTCAATCTCTCAGATAAGATAGATAATATGCTGCTCAAATGATCATTTATGGAAAACAGAACTTATGTGTGTGCGGCTTCACTCTGTTATCGTCTAGTACACCGTAGATAATGTGCACTATTATTTAAAAAAACATTTAAATAACAACTTGGTGCATTACAGGCACCACGAGATTTGCCACACAAAAATAATGAAACAACGATATATGAAGAAAGTAGGGATAGAATGAATGACGGAAGTCATCTAACAAGCAAATACTTGTCAAGATCATTCGACATTCATCATTCATGCTGTTTTCGAGGAGGGTGAAAAGGCAGAAAATTGCAATATGTTTGCCACTGATAGTGCTGCATGGCCATATCTGATAACGTTTCGAGTCATCCATTCGGACTATCTTTTGGACCCCGACCAGGAAGTCATGGTGTACTAACGGATGCTAACCTTACCCTAATATCCTTCATCCCACGGTGCTACGTTATAGGCTGACCACCTCTACTTTTTCCATCCTGTTCCAGGGCCAGTGAATAGAGATCCGTACGGATAGCCCTGGTATGACATTAGTAGCACATGTCCAAGCTACCGAAGCCGGCGTTCGTTTCCAGATGACGATACTTAGTGAATTGTGATCTCCACTGTGTTCAAACACAGACTGCTGGACCTCAGAATGACTCACGCTATGATGCCATCGAATGGAGACAGTAATGTTGGAATACGCAGAATCGCCTCCCATCCTTACATTGGGAGGGGGGAGGGCTAGGTGTCACAGGCGTAGAACAAGACTGTGCGCACTGAAGCAGTGTATACCCGGCCTTTGACATCCAGACTAATGTTGCGATGGTGTCACAGATGGCGTATACGACCCAGGCTTTCACTATTCGGTTAGAGATCTCGTCTGTCACACTTCCACCAGCACTCACACAATTACTCAGATACTCGAACTTATCGACGACTTCAAACGATTAACCTGCAAGGGTGTGTAGCTATCGGCTCCTGTCAATCGTGTGACAGTACTTTGCACTTAGATGGCGCAAAGCACATACTGACACTAATCGCCAACTGACTAAATGCTATTTGGGCAGCATAAAAGCTTTCAAGCACTTATAGTTCCTTTCAAACCTCCTTTTCGTTTAATGGATAGATATTAATAACTTGTGCTACATTGGTACCTGCTGTTGGTTTTACCACTTTCCAGAAGGGATCACTTGCTTTGTTAGACTTGTCCTGATTTGTATAGCTTATCAAATCTTCTTGACGGACAAGTAAGATTTCAACTTCAATCTTAACTTGTGTTTATCTGAAAGAATACTGAGGACAATTTTTATGGTTTCACCATGATTTTATACATTGTTCGCTTTCCTACTTCGTTGCATTTGTGGAATTTTTTCCTTCGACTGTCAATACATACGTTAACAGTAGGTAATAATAATAATAATGTAAACCAGTTCTATCAATCTATTTCATAACTCATTACTGCAATCGAAACCTTATATGTATCTACAGTTGATTGCGGTAACTTCTCGAAAGCGGTACAAAAAGTGGTATTCACCAATTAATTGATGAGATAAACAATTCGTCATGGTATTTTCTCAGTCTCGGAAGACATATAACGTCAAGTTTGCAGATAATCTTAATATTTGATCTTCTCTCAGTATTATTAGTGCAAGGTAAAATTGTTAGATGAAGTAGTTTGAAGCGATAGACAAGCTTGTAGGTTAGTGATTGAAGTGTTTACACCGTCGGTGAAACGTTGGGCTTGTCATGTCAGACCAATCGAAATATTAGAATTAGGGTCAATTTACATATGACCCAGAGGCGATCAACTGTAATTCTGTTTCAAATACTGAGCTCATTGTGATATTCTTATGTATTTTCGTCCTCATTCGTCTGTATCAATAAATTCCAATGCATATTCGCTCAGCACGTTTTATTTACAGGTTTTACCAACGAGTTATTTTGTAATTAATTTCTATCTTATAGAAACAACCTGTAGCTCATACATCATCACATGGATTACTTTCTAAACTGTCTACGGGACGATCTAGTCTTGGTCTTGCTGGACCTTCGGGTGTAACACCATTGTTCAAAGCAATGGGAACTGCAGCAGCATCAGTTGGTATGCAACTCGCTGATTATGTAAATCTCCCAGGGATGTCACAGTCTGTCTCTGTTCCTTCTCAGTCGTCACCTTCAACTGGAAATGGAGATATTAGCAAGCTTAAAGGTAGTGTGTGTTTTTTCCCTTGTGTGTTGATGATGGTCAAGTAAAATGACACTTAGTACTTATCTGTGTCGAATACTTTAGTATTATTACTGCCAAAAATGTGTCTTGGTTATGAACTACCAGTGTTTGAGTGATCAGCTAGTCTCTTCTGCAGCATACTTTTTATTTTTTGAGTTATATTTGGTTATCCTTATTAACTGTGAACTTAGAAGTCACTTACCTCTACCTGTCCAAGTGGATATCAGCCAACTTTCAATCAGTGTTGGACAAGTCGAACTCTGTTCCGTCCAACTTCATTTTGGTGCTTATGTAGTATCGCACAATAAAAGTGTAACCCATTCATTGCCATTTACTTAAATATGCAAATTTTTATTGAGTAGAAAACTGGTGAGTAATGGTGACCTATCTTATTACTTATTTCACTTAGAAAATATCCATTGCAGGATTCTTTTTTTAAATCCTATTTTGAAATTTATGGTAAATTTTGAACTGATTGAGAGTTTATGGTGTTAATCTCTCTGAGCATTGTAATTCTTATAACAAAAGTTTCATTAAGAAAACTTTGAAATCATTCTAACAATTTGAAAGATCCATCGCCGACATAAGGCCGACTGCGATCATTAAAGTTATCCAGAATCATCACAGAATTTAACAGAGACAGCCGAAACTGCCTGCGGTTGGTTTTGTTCTAATAAATGCACCCGTTCCCTTGCGGGTCAGGACATAATTGCATGTATTAGCCCTAGAATTACTACAGTTATCCATGTAGTATATATGATCTAAGGAACCATAGCTGATTTAATGAGCCATTCGCGGTTTCACCGTTTTAAGGTATGTACTTAGACATGTATGGCTTAATCTCTGAGACAAGCATATGACTACTGGCAGGATCAACCAGTTTATTCACACAGTGATGCACTCATTGACTGGGTATTGGTTTTGAGGAGAACCAAAACACACCCATCCCTGCCTCTTGCGGGACGAGACCGGCATGCCGGATCATCTTGTGGCGCCACCACTAGAGAGCCCTCTCCCTCGGTGGACCATTCGCACTGTTTGTTTGCGTAGTAATGCATAGGTAAGCACTGCTACGCCGATCATTGATCGCGTCAACCAATTATGCACTGCATAGATAAGCTCAATAGAACTCATCTCGCATACAAGACGACTATATGCAAAAGTAGCACGCATGTCGACGCTATAGTGACAATAAGCCCCTATAAGCGAAGCCAGCAGCCACGAAATTCAATGAAATCGTTATCCTTGCCAACTAATTTAGTATGCAAATAGCTTCTATACGTCTACCAAGACTATGGAAAACCATACACAGTCATATAAACGAGCCATGAGAACAATTTAACCCACGCTCATATCGTCTATATAGCTTATGCTGTGTTTACTATAGGATTTTAGAGTCATAAGCTAGACAACCTAGCTGGGCGCTATTAGGCCTAGACAAGCTCAAAACCCCATGGTCACAGATACCAAAACACGTTTCACGCATTGCTCTATCATTTGGAAGCGTTTTTGAAATTTTCAATTTTTCGACTTTTTTGGACCCGAGTTAGGTAGGGGTAGTATCCCTATTTCTTATGAGAGCTGATTGTGTTGACTGTAACAAATGAAAAAGAGGCTTCTTGTGACACACTAAGATTTATTTTTAATTCTAATTTATTACCATTGGTGTTTATTGTATTCAAAGGTGAGAAATCAACCACTTACCCTATTGATAAATGAGCAGTTTTGAATGAACACCTACTTCGTATACACGTTAAATTATTCTATGGAAGCAATCTTCAAATATGCATTGAAGTGGACCAGATCTCTTTAGCTACTCATATTCCCTATGCTTGAAGATGTTAATACGTGTGTGTTGTTAAATTTCTCATCGATATCACATGATAACGTGTCTGTATTTGTTTCCACTATCATGTTGTTTTATTGTTATTGTTTTCACAGGTGAGCAAACTTCAAAAGCTAAACCATCTGATACATCTGAATCTACAACACCACAGCCTAGTAAATCTAAAGATCTTAAATTTCTTCCATCTTTCCCCCGTGGTCGTGGTCGTTTACAACAGGCGCTCACCCGAATGAGACGTGCAGCTACAGCATCATGTGATCCTACGAGTCGTTCAGGTGCTAATGTAACAACTCGTCGATTTGCTTCATCGCATAATTATGGAAAAAATAAACCTGGTCTAATTAGTTTACCTTTTCAAACATCTATTGAACCTGTAAATCCTTCCACTGAATTAGAAAGCAGTTCTTCTAACATCACATCTCAGCCGTCTGATCTCAGTCCATTAACACTACTGCTTGCCACTTCTGTTTCGCCGTCACCTTCACTGCAAACTTCTTGTTTAACATATATGCAAGTGGAACCAAAGGAATCGATAAATGCTAACGTTGATTCATCTGGTTAGTCAGCATGTAGTGTTGTATTGCCTGTTACTTTTTTTTGGTATTGTATAGAAGATTCTATAGCTAAGAAAATAATGGCATATTAGTGTAAAATTTCAGTGATCGATAAATATTTAAGCTTGATTAATCGTGCTCGAGAACACCTACTAGTGTGGCTGTTGTTAAAACCATAAACAGTTCTCTGTTAGATCACCTCGTCCAAACAGGCTACAAAGCCAGTATTGAAGAATCTTTCTTTATCATCTGTCGGGTATCGAATAAATTACCAAAGGGATCTAAGTGACAAACATTTTGAACAGCAGAGGCTATTGGCATTTGCTATTAATCGACCGGATGTCTGCGTGCAAAAGAAACAGGTTCAGCCACTATTGCTACCCTGTGAATTCATAAATTTTGTGTTACTTCCCTTAATTTATTTGATGTTTAGTTTAGTGTTATATTAGTGCATATAGTCTCCTACTGATGCTTTTCGACCTGTTTTTTTTATTTTCTTAACGTTCCTGGTGGAACATAGGGCTTCAAGGTAGAGGCTTAAAGTTTCTGTAGCAGTGTTTATTTTTACAGGATAGGGTTGCTAGCCTCATGTCCAACCTTCCCCCTTTACCGGTCTTATTACTGACTAAATGAGGTAAAGGAGTGAGTCGCCCGGGGGTCGAACCCCGGACCATGTGCATGGTCGGCGAGCGTCCTAACCGCTATGCCACCGACTGTAATCTATGTATATCATTGATGTTGTTAATAACAATATTTCTTTAATTATGGTCATATAAATGTGGAAGCTATAACGCAGTGATTTCGAAACTACTTCGCTACTACGGGTTGGTGCCAAAAATTATACGCCTCATCCAACAGTTGTACGACAATGCTGCATGCCAAGTAATCCACAACGGGAAACTCACAGAATCATTCGAAGTGAAGACGGCAGTAAGATAAGCTGGCTTCCTACTACCTTCAATGAATATCCTGATTGTAGTAGACTGGATAATGTGACAGACAACGGGCAATGAGGAGACAGGCATAAAATGGACCCACACAAAAACTTGGACGATCTGGACTTTGCCGATAATATATGTCTGATTTCCCACAAACTGGAAGATATGCAAGTGAAAAGCGACAAGTTGGTAGAAGAAGCAGCCAGAGAAGATAGAACTTCAGGTGAACATAAGGAAAAGAGAGGTGATGAAGATTCCTGGCCAACAGCAACACTAACAACAACATACAACAATCATCATAAATACGAGGAATCTGAAAGCAGCAACTTCCTTTACCTACCTACCTGATAAACATCATTTCAACTACAGGCGGATGGAACTGACGAGGATATCGAAGCGAGGATCAGAAAAGCAAGTCAAGCTTTCATTTCTCTGTAGTCTGTGTGGAGATAGATCAACAGCACTCAGCATGAAAAGTAAGATATGGATTTTCAACGCTAATTTGAAGTCAGTGGTACTATACGGATAGGAAACTTGGCGCGTCACGAAGGGCACTTAAAACAAACTACAGACCTTCATCAACAGCTGTCTTCGCTCAGTGCTACTCAAGATCAGATGGGTGGCCAGAAAAGATCAGCAACAGGGAAGGATCTGTGTGAGTGAACCAACTCAGCAGAAACCGATTGTGCAACAAATATGCAGCAAGAAAAGGGGGAGGATTGGCTATACTCTGAGGAAGCCATCAAGTTACACCACACACCAGGCTATTGCTGGAGTGGAATCCAAATGGGAATTGGCGAGTCGGTCGTCAGTGCAAGGCTGACATGGAGGAGGTGACGTGAAGAGGAGATGAAAGTATGTGGGCAGAGGTGAAGTCAGGTGAAAACGTTGCTGGAGAACCGGACGCAATTGGGACGTGCGCCTGAAGCCCTATGTTCCTCTAGTAACTAAGAGAAACAATAATGATAATAAATGTAGAGCTGATGGCGAATTTATCGAAAGGAATATTCTTTGTTCATCAATCAATCTTCCAAATATTGTTTATGCTTGAAATACTTAGGAGAATAGAAAAATCTAATTCGTACAATATTTGTTTGAATAGAACATAATAAAATGGTATGATACTATCGGTGACTTCACATTTTAAAATATTTCGACTACTTATTTTACTAACATATTTTGAACTTTTACTTGCACGTTACATTGGACAGAACATGGTCGAATACCAAAGGCATTAATAGTCAGTCTAAGAAGGTTCCCGAGTACTTGACTACTACTGCTTCTGTGTAAAGGTTCGCCACTTTCCCGCCCCAATATTGAGTAAGATAAACAATTCCCCGGTCGGGTGAATGAGACGTGTTGTGCATAACTATGCAGAGTTTACATTAATGTACTGCACCATATTAGCGGATGCAAGATTCATTTGGAGGAAAGCTGGTAATAACTAGAACAATCTGTTGACTTTGATTGCCATCAAGTGTGTTCAGTGATGTTTTACTACTTTTAAATGCATTACTTTCTGTTTCTGTCCTAAATGGGGGTTCATAAGCTATTTTATCTTTTTTTTATATCAATTAGTCATTACTTATTGATATATTTAATGGCATTTAATTTCTTATAATGGCTTAATCATGACAGAAGAATCTCCAGATTATATACACAAAGAGATATCTCAATATCACCCAAATACAGATACGATATCTAGTCAACAATCAAAATTAGATTCTAAAACAACTGGCCAACTTACTGTCATTGTATCTGAAAATACTGTCCAAGATACATCAGTATCAGAAAGCAACTCTGAAAAGAGCAGACGTAAATTGGCAAATTCAATGAAATCTAAACATCACTTTGTCCCACTACCTATACATCTTCGCGGTCCCCTACCACTGCATAAATGTCCTAGAAGTACACTGTCACCGGTAAGCTGCTTTAATTCTGATTGAGTTTTTTTTATTTATTGATAAGTTGGTCTCAAATCCTATACTAACTTTCGAAGCTTCAGGACAATGCATTATCATCCTTTATACCATAAATATACCTTGTAGCCCACCTCACGAATGTTTTCGTCGAGGCTTAATTGTGTATACATAAAGTCTCATTTTTTCTCTCAAAATAAACATTTACATAGTATTGGCTTATAAGAACGCTTTTTTATATGCGCATCCTACGTTAATATGTAAGTACTGACTTGATAGTTTTAAGCAGTGCTTAACCTAAGAGTAGCTGAATGTTGTCATTATTTGTCTACCGGATTTCCAGCGGCCCAACTTGAAATCAATCACATCCCTACAAATTAACATTTGGAAATTAATCCGATGCATACTCCTGACTGCCTACAAGAAAAAAGTTGCTTAGAGTTCTGATGACAAGTCGTGACCAATAAGTTTCCACCGGGTTGGGTGTAAAGACAAGTACTCGCTGATGACATTGTCCCCGGTGGTGGCGGTAAAATCGCTAATGAACAGAATTTAGAATTCATGAACCATTGGGTTCTGTCTCAGTGGTTGGATTCTCGGTAGAGTCATGAGTGCATGCTGTTGAAGAGTTCCAAACTGGGGTGAAACAGCTGTTCACTACTCCCTGATCAAGTTTGAAGCCAAACCTACAAATTAACGCTTGAAAACATAATTTTTATGTTTTAATTACTTAGGAAATCAATGTACAATTTACTGGTTGCTGACATTATATACTAATAACTATTTCGTTAAATACCGAGTTGAATAATCATATTGATTGCTAGCTGGATAAGAAAGTAAAGGGAATTAACGTAGATCTAACCTTCAGAGAAGTTAGGATATTTTTTCCCCACCGACGATTCAAGGAGAATTAAAAATGGTCTACTGGCACTATGTTTTTGTTAATTCTCTAGCGAACACATCAGAACAAATCAGAAAAAATAAATTCACAGTATGAGGAATCAGTTAAACTAATGCAGTTTACTATCAAAAGACACTTCTTTTCCTAAAACTTCAGATAACTTCGGCAGGGAAGGTTCAATACTTTTATCTGCTTTTTACGAATCTCTTATCAATTATTGTTCAGAGTGTATATCTTTCGCACTCATATGTTAGTTTAACGAAATTTTGCTAGTCACTATTGTCATCAATCGAACGCGAGTATTTTTTACACAATTGACACCGGATCAGTATTTTTAAGTTTTGATGTTAAGGAATAAAATCCTCTCATCCAGAGAGATTCCCAACGATTTAAAAAATCAAACGATATCTCTCCTGCGTTAGCCATTCATTCCTTTAGTTTGCTGAAAATATTTAATAAATTTATAAAATTTCTCTACTTCTCTCATACTAAATCTTTTGTTTTGCTTTCTCTTTCCATGATAGTTTGTTCCGTTTGTGGTTGAACTGTGCGTAACACTCGTGGAGCGATATGGTCTAAATTGTATTGGTATCTATCGTCTCTCTGGAAGTAAAGTTGCCCATGATTTTATCACCTCTGAGTTAAGCAGAGTAAGTTTGTTTTCTCTCTAGACCGCTTTTAGTTTTCAGGGTTAGTTACTGACATTATTTATTATACCTTTTGTTTATGTGAAGTTAAAAAATTTTTGCTCATTTACGTGATATTTCCTAGAAGTTTTATGTTAAAACCCGTGTATCTTGTGGAGAGTTTAATCGAGCTTTATTGTTATGGTGTTTGTAGACTAAACTACGTAGTTAGTAACATTCTCATTCGTGTGCATTTTCTTAACCATTTTTGTAATGTATAGCATTGACTTAGTAGGTATTCTGTATTAGCTTAATTATAAGCAGTTGCGCACTAGTAAATAATTATGGTAATTTATCAACCGTTACATCACACCCGATCGTTCATTTCTAAAGATGTAACTTTCAGTCCGAATATGATAGACTTGATTTTTAACTATGAGAATAGGCTATATGTCTTGAGATCACTGTAATGTTATGTGGCTATACGGTTTTTTGGGTCAAACAGTAGACTTTCAACCAATCGACTCCGAGTTTGAGTCTTACTCCGTCTCCTTCAGTCTGAACAACTGAGTAATATCGTTTTCCTTTACTCTATAAGTGTGGGTTATACTTTGTTACTTAGAAATTCTGTTGCAGATATCTGAGTTCTAAGTAATGAACGGTGCTGTATTATCTGAAATCGACTGATAATTTCAGCATCGTGTTCTCCATCCCCTCCTACTTCCGGTATAATTCCAAGTTCCACTACTTTGTTACTAATACTAATTGTGAATTTTTGTATAACATTTTAGTAAGATCGTTTTCTTAACTAACCCTTTACTCCCTCTTTGTACCTATTACATAATTTATTTTGGACACTTGTCTCCATGCTCTTTCGTTAGCGTCCAATTTTTCTGTGTGTGTCTTTCATACTACCTTACCCTTGTCATACCATCCTAGCTACAATTTGATCATTCATCACATTTTCTGAAACATTCTGATAACATAAACAATAACCCTAACTAATTTTTATTCTTGTCTCACAAACCTAATGTACACACACACACACACAAATAATTATATATATAATTGTGATTGTACAGCGAAGTGAATGAATTCACCGCCGAAAAGAGACTTTTCACTGAACTGTTTGTTCTTATAGTTCATAATATGATACAAAATCTCTTTGTCAACTTTAGGCCGAATTCCTATTTAATTGCATGAAAGGCGGCGTATGTCAGTCGTTTAAATCATGCCAGTTTGTCATTTTATTTTACAGTTTATGGGCAGTTTATTTTGTATATCAATAATTGTTATTTGTATAGAAATATTATTTTTTTTGAGAGTTAGTTTGTAATAGCTTGAACTGTTTCAAGTTTGATCACGGATTAATGTCAGTTAATGAACTATTGGAAACCAGGCGAGTACTGGACAACTATTTCGTCCTAGTTTGGCACTCTTCATATGATTCTTCTTCTTCTTTAGTTCGGCTATCTCCTACGGGAGGATGAACCGGCTTCATGAACATCTCGAATGTTTGTAAGAGAGTTGATGAAGTTTCATGGGAATTGGGTACGAGTGATGTCCCCAGCATCGCTCGGCCTTTTGTTTGAGAGTGCAGCTCTAGCCTTTACACAGCCAAGTGTGACCTACAAGGCAGTAGGAGTGGAGTAGGGAGTCCACTATCCATTGGCAGCCGGTGACCGGTTCATACGCCTTTTTGAATGGGGCCAGACATCCAATAAGCTCTTTGTCCATACGTCTGCCGGTGAACTCCGGTGAGCTTCATACGCCAGTCGTTGGAGGTTTGGAATCAGGGTTTAGCCATCTCCCCTAGACTGTCATCCAATGGACAGTCAACCCGGTGAAGAGCGCCGGGCATCCGCTTTTGCCCTCTCACTTCGGTGAAAAACACCTCCGCCACGTGAAGGCAGTGAGTAGGACTTCCTCAGGAGAGGCTATGTAAGACGCACGGTCATATGGGAGCATTTCAAGAGGTGTACGGAGGGGTGGCTAGCCCGCAGCGCAAGACACCCACCCCCGACCATCCTGAGGCTTTGGAGGCAGCTCGCTATTGACCACCTGTAGGTCCACTATGTCGAGCATGAGGATTAATACTAATAGATCGCGTCGGCTGGTGGTCGTGCTAAAATCGTGAATTGGCATAAGTTGAAATTCATGGATCATTTCGTTGAGCCTCAGTGGCTGAATAGTCTATAAGGGTTGCCGTGTAATCGGAAGGTCCTGGGCTCCTGTCGCTGAGTTGTCCCAAAAGCAGGACGAAGCAGCTGTCCAGTGCCCCCTAGTTTCCAATGGTTCTCTAACTGATAGCGATCCGTAACCAATCTTCAAAAAGTGTATCTGTTTGTAATTTCCTATAGTTGGACTAAGTGATAAATTACTTAAGTCACCTGCACTGACCTTAATTTTCGTTTTTTTTTCTAGGATATTACTACGGTTGATGTGACATCGGATAAATGGAATGATTTGCATGCTGTTTGTGGTGTTTTGAAAACTTTTCTACGCAACCTACCCGACTCACTTTTCCCTAAAGGTAAATAATACCTTAACACCACTTTACATAACGTGTGTACTGTAAAAAGTATCGTGATACCTATTTTTAACATTTATCATTTAGTTTTATATTGTAGCGGTAGACGTTAAGAGAACTGGGAACGGACTGTACTTGTTAAGGAAAAACGCACCATATTTATATCTTCTTGACCACATTTTAAGTTGGCTAGGTCAGCGGACAATAAACTGTCTCGATTGGTTGGCGATTGGCCCAAGACTGAACAAAGGGATGAAAAGTTATCCAATGAGATTATTTCAAGACCACAACGTAAACTAAGTCCAGGTTTGAGGATTAAACGACTTTACGTCTTCAGCCATTGACTTAAATTGTCGATTTCAATATTTAGCCGCTTCCCATCATTGTATATATATATATATATATATATATATATATATATAGGACGCTCGCCGACCATGCACATGGTCTGGGGTTCGATCCCCAGCCAACGAACTCCTTCACATCGCTAGCCAGTTATGAGACTGGTAAAGAGGAAAGGTTGTACATGAGGCTAGGAACTCCATCCTATAAAAATAAACACCACTGCTACAGAAACTTCAAGCCTCTAGCTTGGAGCCCTATGTTCCACTGGGAACGTGAAGGAAAAAAATAGCACACACCACAACGCTACTGAATATTATGCAGATAGCTGTTTCACATACTTGCGTAGTAAATCCATATGAGCATTCTCAAGAAAAAAAAACAGCAGAAGTCGTGAGTTTCGTAGCGAGTTAATGTCATATAAATTTGATTGTTTAGAAAATTTCATTTTAACAAGGGAAATTAACGTTACCGTTACCGTCATTTCATTTATGATTTATCTGGTCTTGTTATATCAATAGTGGTAACTGGGGGTTACATTGCATAATCTAAAATGACGTATTGCAAATATCTGTGACTAAATGAAAAAAAAAACACTTTGAAGTGACAGAGTAGAATAATATGTATGTGTATATGTATATAGATAGATAGATACTAACGATGATGAACACCTTCAGACATTTGAAGTTTACATGAATAACAATTTTTCTTCCTTAAGCAACACCTTATGCTTCACTGAACCTTGAAAATATCATAATAATAATAAAGCTTGGTCTAGAAGCTTCATGAAGTTTAATATTGTTCTCAGTATATTAATACAATAGGAAGTTGAAACATAAGACATTTACTACTTTAAGAGCTGATGAATTTTTAATTTTGCTTTATTTGTTTGTTATCACCTTGATTATTGTTATGTAAAATAGAATGGAGATTGTTATAGGGTATGATAACTTTTAAGCGTAAGTTTCTTTACAAATTAATATGAACGGTAAAAAAAACAACACTGAAAACTTGCAGGGCATTATGGAATAGCTATTTATGAACGACCTAGTTTGGCATTTTTCAGAAGTATGTACTCGTCACTCTCACCGAAGGTGCTGCTGTGTAGTTGTACCCTGCAAATGGTTCGATGGTTCGGTGGCACAATACTTCTCAAACACACCGCCATAGGGGGGGTCTTGGGTTAGGTCCCCGGTTGACACACTCTTAAACCTTGATTAGCTGGTAGTAAAATCAGTAAAGAGGCAAGGTTGGGCGTGAGGCTATAACAATCTCATCCCATGAATAAAAGAAACATAACATCACTGCTACCGAAACTTCTGAGAACAAAGCTCGAAGGTCTATGTTCCAATGGGAACGCAAAGGAATAAAATAAGTAAACAATACTGCTAAACGAATTTATGGCCTAACAATTAATAAAGGCAAGATATGCATTTTCAACACAAATGTGAAGTCAGTCGCTTTTTCATTACGGATCAAAAACTTGGCCGGCGTGTCACGATAAGGATTTCCAACAAGTTACAGACTTTTATCAACAGCTACCTTCGCTGGGTCCATACTGAAAGTCAAATAGCCGACCAGCTGGCCAGAAACGATTAGTAACAAGAAATTCTGGCTGGGAACAAACCAACCAAGAGCCGATTGCTCAACAAATATGTAGGAGAAAATGGAGGAGGATTGGGCATACATTGAGGAGGCTGTCAAGTGACTTCGTGCGCAATGCAGGCCGTCACTCGAGTGGAATCCCAATGGGAAGGAACGAGTGGGTCTTCAGTGAGAGGGTGACATGGAGGAGATCGTGTCAGGAGATGAGAGATGGGCGATCGTGGACCCATGTCGCTCATAAAGATAGATACCAGAGAGAAAAAAGTGATTCAGAAATGTGATCGAGATAGAACAGTAACATGGGAAAATAACAAGATTTAACAGATCTGGGAGATTATAAGGGATGAATGCATCTGCTCTACTGATAAACATTTCGAGCTTTATCTCCAATAATCCCCAGCATCCTGAGGGTTCTAGTAAGGATGGACTATACCTCCTTGCATGGCTCAAACCAACTGTCAAAGACTTCATGAACTGATTCCAGGTTTTTGTTTGACGCCCCCTAACTCTTTTGAAACCTAATCTCATATCCTTTAGCATTGCTCGTCAAGGAAGAGGTCGGGGTTGAGACGTGCAAACCTTTTCCAAACCATCTCAATCGACCTAATCTAACGGTAAGGCAAAATAATAAAAAAAACTTGCTGGTTACTTATTTTAGACATCAGAAGTGATTATTATTATTAGATGAAATTGACCTACACATTCATAGGGTTTTACACCTCTATATTTCGGATGAATCTTCTGTGGTGTGTACTTTTAGAGCTTAATTATGAAATTCATTCAAGTCTTCAAAACTTCTTCTAGGTCCTAGGATTTAGACTACTTCAACTGTTTGTTATCAGTTAACTTTTGTGTTGCATATAAGTTATTGTTAGTAGTTATGTTTACTATTATTATTGTCATTCTTCTTATTTGCCGATTTTTTTCTTTTCTTTCAAAAAACTTTCATCTAGTAATGTATCCAGACTTTTTGGCTGCATGTCGTCTACCACAACGTGAAAAACGTCTTCTATCTATTCAACGTTTATTAAGCATAATGGAGTGTTATCCTTGTCATCCAGAGTATAGAGCACATCGAGCTACTTTGCGTTATTTGGCTACACATTTGGCTCGTGTTAGTGCTCGTGAAGCAGTCAATAAAATGACAGCTTATAATCTAGCACTTGTATTTGCACCAAATCTTGTACAACCATGTGAAGATACGCCAGAATTGTTGATGAGTGACTCAAAATATAAAATTATGGTATGCATAGATTTTCGTTGTTGTTTTGTTTATATATTTATTTATCTATCCGTAGGTAAATGCGTCGGTGCCACGGCGGTAGAATGCTCGCCAACCACGTGTGCAGTCCGGGGTTGGATTCCCAGCCAACGCACTCCTATACCTCACTAAGCCAGTAATAAAACTGGTAAAGAGGGGAGGTTGGGCATGAGGCTAGCAAACTCATCCCGTAAAAATAAACACCACTGCTACCGAAACTTCAAGCCTCTAGCTTGAAACCTTATGTTCCACAGGGGTTGTTATGTGTGCATAACCTCTTGATTTTAAAAGTATCAATGTAACGACTTGTAAACTCATTTATTTGAACTTCTCTCTTTATTTTGTCAAGTTTATGGTTATTGCATCAAAAAGGCCATTTGATTATTTTGTCATTTGTGTGTGGATTCAATACAATGAGATTGAAACACTTTACTGTCCCATTTTAATTTTATTCTTGAACCAAATTTTGACTTTATCGTTTTTTTTAACTATATAGAAAAATAAGTTTAATAACCGGAAATAATTTATTTTTCGACATCAAAGATCCTGTTTTTGTATGATGTGTGTTCAATCTGGTAGTTTTCACTATACTTCTTCACACAACATTTATGATATACACTTTTATCTATGGTAAGTGTAAACAAAGTGAATCTATCCTGAAGAAGAGATATTTTCTGTTTAATGTAGATGCTCTTGTTTTACTGTAATTTATGTGCTTATAGCCTCGTGAGTCATTTCAGGAAGTTTCAGTTGTTTACTGATACTATAGCTTTGATTCACTTTTTGTTCGACAACATGGTATCTGTTACCTTGCACTCTTTGTTCATCATTAGAATTAAGTGCAGTTTGTCTCATGCCTTCCTACAATGACTGAAATGGACTACTAAGAAGCTCCCGTCAGTAGTAACCTTAAAATGGTTATCTCAAAGGTAGGTGGCTAACAGAAATGACTTAAAAGTTGTACCATATAACCAGCTGGTGACTTGAGGACTTTCTTGAGAGAGAAAGGGTGTACTCCTAGAATTGAGACTGCTCTGAGATCGAATAATGAGAGCGGTATATATCATTTCCATTTCGCACTGTTTGAAATTGATACTTTTTCACTTTTGAGGAGCTAGTTACTATACTAGATCTACTGAATTGTTTCAGCGATCAAATCAATTGTATCCAACGGGTAATTTTTTCATTTATCGTTCTCAAGAGCCATTTTATTCTATTCCTCTGAATTGAAATATGTCTGTCTGTTTTCGATGTAGAACTTTGCTCCGATATGCAGCAGTTCGAGTCACCACACTCCATGTAGCACACAAAGCAAGAGAAGAAATGTAAAATAGAGACAGTAAAGAGAGGTGTGAGACAAAGAAATAGAAGTAACGAAGAACAATGTAGTTTCATTGGAAATCATTAGTCAAAAGGAGTGGATGCATCTGCGCCAGTCATTGAGAACGGTTTTGAACCATGTCACCTATTGTTTCCAACCATTGGTTTTACCGTCCCGAGGACCCCAACTAGTCAGGAAGTCTACACCTTCCTACGTGGCTGGCTTAAACTAACTGTTGTGGAAATCATTGAATGATCAGGCCATGTTTCGGTTTGACCGCCGCTATCTCTTTTCCAGCCTGAGAGCATGTCAGGTAACATTGCCTGTCGAGGAAGGCGATGGCTAGGCATACGTAACACATGTCCTAACCATCTCAGTCGATGTAGCTTCACAGCCTCGTCGATTGATTTCCCCTCCCAACTACCTAGCACTCGACCTATGTCTAACCTCAATATTGCTCACCTTGTTATACCACTTCACACGAGAGATAGAACGCAAGCACCTATTATCAAAGACAGCTAATCTTTCCATGTCTTCCACTCTCAGTGGTTCGGTCTCACAGACATAAAGGAGGACGGAGCGGACTGATGAGCAGTACACCCGCCCTTTAGTCGATAGCCGGATATCACGTCTACTCCAGAGATGACGTAAACTGGCATATGCGAAACTAGCCCTCTGTATCCGTGCTGAGATTTCGTCAGAGATCAACCCGTTGGGGCTGATGGTACTTCCCAGATAAGTGAAGCGGTCAACGTGCTCTACCAATTCACTCCCTATTTCTAAACTAGGAGTCAGTGTAGTCCAGTCCTGTAACATCATCTTACATTTGACCGGAGCGTATAGCATGTCAAACATTCGTAGATTGCAGTGAAGGGAGTGCCAAGAAAGTACATTGCACTAATCAAGGCACTCTATTCAAACTCACGTAGTCGTGTAAGGGCTTATGGGGAATTGTCATCTGAATTTAACAACCAGTGGTGTCCGACAGGGATGTCCACTTTCCCCATTTCTGTTTAACTTCATCATAGATATGCTAATGGAAGTATCCTTAACTGAACGTAGTGACTTAGGAATCGACTTGTTACCAGGGAATAATCTAATGGACTTAGAATATGCAGATGACATAGTCCTGTTAGGGGAGGATGCTGACAAAATGCAGAGTCTTCTGAACACCTTGAGCAGCAATCTTCGTATGTTTGGCATGCGATTCGCCCTGCAAAATGTAAGATGCTGCTACAGGACTGGACGACGTCAACCCCTAACTTAGTGATAGGGAGTGAAGTGATAGAACATGTTGACCACTTCACCTACTTGGGAAGTTGTATTAGCACCAACGGACTGATTGGCGATGAAATCTCAGCACGGATCCGAAAAGCTCGAGCTGCTTTCGCTGACTTACACCATCTCTGGCGTAGGCGTGACATCCGGTTATCAACCAAGGGACGTGTGTACTGCTCATCAGTTCGCTCCGTCCTTCTCTATGGCTCTGAAACATGGCCAATACGCGTTGAAGACATGAAAAGGTTGACTGCTTTCGATCATAGATGTCTGCGATCTCTGTCTCACGTTAGGTGGTTTCACAAGATAAGTAATGTTGACGTTAGGCGTAGAGTGTTGGGCAAAGAGGGAAAATCAATCGACGAGGTTATAAAGTTACATAGACTAAGATGGCTAGGTCACGTGGTGCGCATGCCTAACCACCGCCTCCCCCGACGGGCATTGTTAGCTGATATAGGTTCAGGTTGGAAAAGAGCCAGTGGTGGCCAAACAAAAACATGGCATCAATCCATGAAATCCTTGACAGTTAAACTGAGTCAGGTAGGGAGATGCAGACTCCCGGGTTGGGGCCCTCGGGACTCTAGGAATCAATGGCTGGAGACAATAGGTGACATGGCTCAAAATCGTTGTCAATGGCGCAGATGTATTCAATCTCTGTAATCTTTCATATTCCTTTCTACCATTACCCATTCTGTTTCACTCTTATATTTGTCAAACTCTATTGATTCTCTTCACTCATCTTCTTGTCTACCTCTGTGTGCTATTTGGAACGTGGCAACTCGAACTGCTGCACTTCGGTGCCAAGTTCTATGTTGAATCCAGACAGACAGACAGACACAAGGTGTTTAGAAGACTGCATTTTGTCAACGTCCTCGCCTAGAAGGACTATATCATCTGCATATTCTAAGTCAACGAGATTATACCCTGGTAACAAGTCGATCCCTGAGTTAGGGTTGGATCCATTAGTACATCTATGATGAAATTGAATAGAAATGGGGATAATGGGCATCCCTGACGGACACCACTGGTGAATTGAAAGATATCAACTTTTATATTGAGTGATACATTTACCTATTGCATATATTTATTGTTCAAGTAATCATAGAGTTGTAACCTTTAACGGTCATTCAGAGTCGCGTTTACTGTATGAAATCCATTTCTCAGTTTTATCATAAGCTAGCTTTGTGACACAGAGAATTGTGCTATTAGTGAAGTAATCGGAAATATCCTTTAGTGTCTAGATTCTGTTATTCATATTTGATGAGCTCTGTTAGGATTCCTTCGTTGTTGTTGTTGTTGTTGACAAAAAGCATTGTTGGAAAGTAATTTGCTTTAAATATTACGTGTGATTCTTTTACTTCATTGAATTGCAGTACGTACCAATTATAGAGCTTTGTTTCTTCTAAAAATGCACTGATAATGTGATGAATATGAAATTAGATACTTTCAAGAGGGTTTTTTTTGCAATGGACCCCTTATGTGTGTGTGTATGTGTGGTTAATAATACTCCCTGATTGTTAGTATCTTGTTTAAGTCGATTTGATATTTAAGTACTCCAAGGATAGATAAACTTTTGCAGTGTAGACAGATATCCAACTAGAGGAGATGTCAACTGGTTGTATAGCTTCAAAAAAAAGTAGATTTTCTTTTGATTTATTTTTTAAAAAAGAATTTTATTTTTCTGTTGCACACAATTTTTTTTCCTTCACGTTCCCAGTGGAACATAGGTCTCCAAGCTAGTGACTTGAAGTTTCTGTAGCAGTGTTTAATTTTTACATGATGGGGTTCCTAGCCTCATGCCCAACCTTTCCTCTTTACCAGCATTATTTCTGGCTCAGAGAGGTAAAGGAGTGCGCCGGCCGGGGATCGAACCCCGGACCATATGCATGGTCGGCGAGCGTCCTAACCGCTACACCACCGACGCACTGTTGCACACAAAATCGTTAGAAATCTAGTTCCGGTTAAGTGAAATCAGTTTTTTTTTCTACGCATATTTGAAGTGATGCTTTATCTCTTTGTTCAGTCATTTAGTTAGTAAGACATTGTCAAGATGTAGAATTTGTTTGTTTTCTTGACCCCCTGCCCCTCATTTGGATATAAGTCACTAGTCATATATTTGTATACTATTTTGGTTTCATACAGATATGTGATCAAATAGCCATGAATACTATTCATCATCAGCATATATAAGTATTGAATGTTTGCTTTAAATAAGGGTCGGCTACATGACGTATCGCTTTTTTCGAAGTGGCGCCACCTGTTTTATCTAGTGGTGGGTGGGTATTAGTTTGTTTCAGTTAATAGACCAAACTATATACCAGCATGATTTTATGAAAATTCAAAGTTATACTTTTGACGTTTGAACTTACTTCTTCTTCCTCTAATCCATTAGAAAGCTCACATATATAAGTACCAAGTGACATTTTCTGATACACAAGTTCAAGTACATTACAATACAAAATTTTATTTAAAAAGCATTTTAAAAATATAACTTTTCAATAAATCGTCATAGAAACTGACTGCAATGCTACAAATATCGGGGGGTATGCAATAAAACCACTCTTAAACAAGCAATAGATAGTTATTCTGTTTTCAACTGTTTTCCAACTAATGCATTTTAACTATTAAATCAAGTTGTTTTTTAATTTTTTCTCTTCACGAAATATTTTCTGATCATTTTCTACAGCTTGTTGAAACAGTGATCAAATATCATGCTTGGATATTTTCACCAGATTTAGGCTTGGAGAGTGGTTGTTCCGTTCCACCAGATTCTACAGAAGATTTAACCCCTGAAATTGATGTTGGCAGTCGAGCTATATGTGACACATCAGCAAGTGATGCTGATGACTCAGCTCATCAACCAGGACGTATTGAAGGTAATGCAATATATATATATATATATATATATAATATATATATATAAGCACTGAATGAATACTATATACATAATATAAACATTACTATTCGAACAGTTGACCTAATTATGTATGATAAGTTATTCAGCAACCAATAAAACAGTATGTAAATCACGAGTTAAGGGTAAGGAAAACACCAGACAAACTTGTTCTACATTTTTAATGCACAATTTAAACTAGGTTATTAAGTCAGTTATGTTAAAAATAATAATAATAATAATAATAGAAAATGAAGCATTTCAATATAGAAAAGCTTTTCTAAATGTATTTGTATCTAAAAAACTATGGAGTTGTGAGATGTAATACTCTGCCATCAGTCAAGGTATAGTGTTTTTTGTCCTTTCCCTATTATAATTAATCTCTTGATATATATGCTTACAGTATGTATTCCTATATGAACAGGATATAAAATGTGTTGAAAATCAATTACTTAAATTTACTAACACCAGTTGTCTCCAGCCATCAGTTCTTACTATCCCGAAGAACCCAACCAGGTAGCCTATACCTCCCGACGTGGCTCAGACTAACCGTTAAGGTCACGATCTGGTTTGACTACCACTAGGTCTTTTCCAATCTAGCCGCATGTCAGCTAACATTGTTTGTTGAGGAAAGCGATGGCTAGGCATGCATAAAACATGTCCTAATCATATCAATAGATGTAGCTTCACAACCTCATTGATTGACCTTCCCTCCTTATCTAACATATCCCATCTAACCTCAATACTACTCACCTTATCGCACCCCCTAACATGGGAGATAGAACGCATGCACTTATGACTAACCAGCCTTTTCATATCTGTGTCTCACAGTTATAAAGGAGGCCAGAGTGAACTTCTGAGCAGTACACGCGTCCTTTAATCCATAGCCGGATATCACGTCTACATCAGAGATGACGTAAGTTGGCAAATGCCGCACGAGGTTAAAGACATATTGAATATTAGTTTTTGCACACGAGAAAACAGTACATACACGTACACACAAAGATGACTAATTCATTTCATCCTATGACTCAGGCATCATCATTATCTTAAAATACTTGCATGTATCACTGTGGTGTTCTTCTTGGTTCAGGTTTGAAAAATATATGATATTGTAGACAGATGCAACTTCCTAAATAAGTGAAATGATCAGCACGTTCTACCACCTCACTCTCTGTCTTTAAGTTAGGAATCGGTCCAGTGCAGTAGTGCAGGTCGTCTCACATTTTACAGGAACGAGTCGTATGCCAAACATTCGAAGATCTGTGCTCAAAGTATTCAAAAAGCTGTATTTTGCCTGCATCTTCACCCAAGAAGACTATGTCTAAATCAACAAGACTGTCCTCTGGTAACAAGTCAAGCTCTAAGCCTCTGGATTCAGTTGAGGTCGACTCCATTAGTGCATGCATGATGAAATGACCAATGTCCTTGGTCTGCTTATTTGGGTTGCTTATATACTCAAAGTACTTTTCAATAGTCTTGCCTTTTTAACAATATAATGTTCGATAGTTTGTCTAAGAACTTCTTTCTTGTTTTCACTTTTCTTAAGGTGATGTACAACCATTAGTTGCAGAATTACTAAATGCTGCTGCCAGTCTCCCACCTCCACCTTCTGATACTGATTTAGAAACTGCTGAGATACCTGGCCCTGAATCAGATCGTCCATCGGATATAATAATGTCAAGACCACGATTTACATCTATTCCTGCTACTAATTGGTCTACTTCAACGACAAGTATTTCTAGAATACCATCAGGTGGTCTTCTTAATGAAATGTCAACAACAACTGATCATTTATCCTCGTTAAAAATTAATACCGAACTTATTGAAATTCAGAATGTTACTATAGATGGAAATCGTAAGGATTCAGAAGTAGAATTGGGAAGAGTTGCTACTAGTGCAAATTTGTAAGTTAATATTTTATTTTAATAATTCTGCGTACAATATTGCATGTTCTAATAATTCCTTGAAATTGATACGATAATTTCTATTCATAGCTTTGTCTCACTTATTATACTGCATTCAATTAATGATATCTCTAAGTGCTTGTTAACATAATCAGCCAAATGTTCTTCATATTTTCCTTTCTTTGTATATACACTTCTCTATTAAATGAAAAACATATTTGAACTCAACTATCCAAAACGCATCTTTCATGCACCAGGATAAGAGTCACTCTTATTTTGTGAAGATTCATGATATTACCCAGTTGATTTGGCTACAGTAGGTGAAACAGGTGTCTGGAACTTGACTGACTGACTGGTTTCAACATAGAACTTTGCTCCGATATGCAGCAGTTCGAGTCACCACACTCCATGTAGCACACAAAGCAAGAGAAGAAATGTAAAATAGAGACAGTAGACAGGGATATGAGACAAAAAGAATAATAATAACGAAGAACAATATAGGTTCATTGGAAATTATAAGCCACAGGAGTGGATTCATCTGCGCCAGTCATTGAGAACGGTTTTGAGCCATGTCACCAATTGTTTCCAACCATAGATTTTTACCGTCCCGAGGACCCCAGCCTGGAAGTCTACACCTTTCTACGTGGCTTAGACCAACTGTTGTGGAAATCATTGAATGATCAGGCCATGTTTCGGTTTGACCGCCGCTAGCTCTTTTCCAGCCTGAGAGCATGTCAGGTAACATTGCCTGTCGAGGAAGGCGATGGCTAGGCATACGTAACACATGTCCTAACCATTTTACATGGGAGATAGAACACAGACACCTATGATCAAAAACAACTAGCCTTTTTAATGTCTTCCACCCTCAATGGCCAGGGCTCACAGCCATAAGGGAGGATGGAGCGGACTACTGAGCAGTACACACGTCATTTGGTCGATAGCCGAATATCTCGAAATTGAGACCCATCATTTGAGAGCCAAGTGCTTTAGACAATGAAGCACTTCTCCATATTAGTAAAAGATGAAAGACTTTTACTACTTATCCACAATTATCTGACACAAACCTGTAATCTTTATGTTGTGTTGATCAATAAGTATGAATTTATGTTTACTAAGTGGAGAGAGTTTGGTAGTAATGCAGTCATTAGTCGTAATAATCAAATGACCAGAAAGAATAGTCAATAACGAACCAACCAAGAACTTGACATCTGATAAATATGCAGAGGAAAATGAAGATAGACTGGCTTTACGCTGATGACACTGTTGAATGACATCACACACCGGGCCCTCGAGTAGAACATGGATGCCTTTTGGAGTAGTGACATGAAAGTGGTCGTGTGAGGAGGAAATGAAGGCTTAGGGAAAATCGTAGAGCCAGGAAAAAAAGCCCACAGAAACAGGGTACGTTGGAAATGTGTTGCTGAAGCACTACGGTGTTCCACTTGAAATCCGAAGGATTGATAATAGTAATAATGGTTAGTGGTTAGATGAATAACCCCTTTGCCAATTTTTTTTCAATCACATCTGAATAAATGTGCGTCTGTGGCACAGTGGTAGAATGCTCGCCAACCACACATGTGGTCTGGGGTCGGATCCCCAGCCAACGCACTCCTTTACCTCGCTAAGCCAGTAATAAAACTGGTAAAGAGGAGAGGTTGAACATGAGGCTAGCAAACCCATCCCGTAAAAATAAACACCACTGCTACCGAAACTCAAGCCCCTAGCTTAAAGCTGTATGTTCCACTAGGGACGTGAGGGGATGAAAAAAGGAACCTCTGAATAAATAGGCTTATATTTTAAAATAAATCTGAACCTAAGGTTTATTTGTTGTTTGATGTGTTGGTTAATAATTCACCCTTTTCTCAGCTTTCCCCTGATCCATTTAAAACTGTTTTTCCCTACCTTCTTGTAGACGACCACTGCATACTCCTTCAGATTTGGGAATTAAACTAGACAGTAAGTTATGTATAACTTTTTCTTTCTTGAAATTTCTGTCAATATCATAAACTTAAATTTTCCCCTCTTATTCATCAAAATCACTCTATATCCGAATGAGTAACTAGTCATTTGACTGATACTGTAAACTAAATAGCGCTTGGATTAGTCAGCCAGTATCACTTAAGTGCAAATTGAGTGACAGATAATTAATCAGGTGTTATTTTTCAAAGTGAATATTCTCTTTCATGTTGTTGAGATATATTTAAGGTGCAGTAGGACCTTTTCACCTCAGCAACCGTTTACATTTGTAAACAAACTACATTGAATTAGCCGTACAGAAAGACAGGTGTGAATGTTTTCCAGGTCATGTTCAAATAGATAAGGAGAGAGAGAGAGAGTATGAGAGATCAAAATTAAGATAAATTGCATTACGCTTCAATTATACCCCTTAGCTAAACAATTAGTCATTAGAGAATATATAATATATTCTTGTTATATTCTCTAATGACTAATTGTTTCCATTCGTGGTGTTAGTTTCTGCTAAAAAGACCTCATGACATACGGTTGATGTTGATACTGGGAGAGGTGGGGTGGTGAGGCAACATAGCTTTGTATTTTCGTAATAATTTTCCTAGTGTTTATAGTCCTACGTTGGGCGGCTTGCTTAAAACCTGGGCTACCGAAAAAACCTCCATTCATATATTACTCAATTTGTTTAAGTCCAGTAAAATATGACCCCTAACAGTATCGTTTACCCTGGCGAGTATTTAAAACATTCACAACCTGCCGATTCTTAGGTGTATATTAAACATACGAAAAAGCATTAACCTCGATGACACCTTATCCCATTACATGAGATGCCCTTTCCTGAGTGGTGTCCTTGGTTCACAGAATGCACTCCTGAAGTTTTTATAAATAACTGGCATTCAATCCAATGTCGCCTATTCCTCGAAGGAGAAAAAGAAGTGGTATCATAATAGATTGGTTTCCTCTCCAAGACAGATAGGACCTATGTCACGCAACCTACTGCCTATTGATCATTTATTTGAAGATCCTGGACGAAGGGAAATTATCATGCAATAAAACTTCGCTGAAAATTCTGTACATCTGATAAACATTGTTTAGAATAAACCTATTATTATTATTAAATGTCTTTTCCGTCTCGCAATTTAAATTTTTAGATCTACGCCATCTAAGTCAAGGCTGTTTAGAACAGTTAACATCAGAAGCACGTAAACTAGGTGTTCGAGTTGCTGAAAGTAGACGTCAGTTAGAAAGTACCGTAGCACAACGTTTACACGCTGAACAATTACTATTCGAGGCAAGAAGTGAATGTTCCGACTTGTCTAAAAGTCAAATTGACTCATCAACAGAATTACTTAATCAATCAGAGAATCCCATTATTACTAATACATCGACTTCAATTCAATCCGTTGTCATAATGCCTGATGATTCTGTCAAAGAAGAAAAGAATTCCAGTGAATTTGATGATAAAAGTAAGTAAAAAATAAAGATTATCTCATTGATTATTGAATGAATCTAAACCCAATTTTCGTATTATTATTATTGTTCCCTTGGGTTCCTATTGGAACATAGGGCTTCAACTCCACGTCTCCACTTACCACGTCTGTCTTCTGCTGTACTTTCAACCTGCATCCATGTTAGTCCATACTGTTTCAACTCCTCTTCACACGATCTCCTCTATGTCACCCACCCTTGCACTTACGTCCCACTCGCCGCTTCCCTTTCGGGTTCCACTCGAGGAATGGCCTGACGTGCGCGAGATGTCACCCGGTGGCCTCCTCAGCGAGTGTCCAATCCATCTCCACTTTCTCCTGCACATTTGTTGGTTGGCGATTGGTTCTTGTTTTGTTTGTTAGTGCCCATAGTTTCTTGTTGGTGATTCTTTCCGGCCCGGCCATCTGATCTTCAGTATAGATCCAGCGAAGACAGTTGTTGGTTGATAAAGGTCTGCAATAGGCTGTTGAAAATATTCTTTGTGACTCGCCCGCCAAGTTTCTGATCTGTATAGAAGAACTGACTGACTTGACGTTGTTTGTATTGAAAATCCGATCGAATTTTGTTGCTGTGATGCTGGCTGAGTGACGAAGATTTCCAGATTGGTTTCAGGTTGATGAATGTGTTTCTCGCTGGCCTTCCCGATTCTCGCTCAATTTGCCATCCTCGTCCGTTTCGACTGCCTGTAGTTGAGACAATGCTCCCTAGATAAGTGAATGAAGTAACCTCTTTCAAATCCCTCCCGATGATGGTGATTGGCGCTGGATGTTGCTTCTGTTGTTGTTGTTGTTGTTGTTGCTGGTTTGGTTATTTGCATAACCTCCGTCTTGTCTATGTTCACTCGGAGTCCTGTCTTCGCGGACCTCTTCTTCGGCCAGTTTGTCAGTTTTTGCTTGTAAGTCTTCGATTTTGTGTGATATTAAACATAAATCATCCACGCGTGAAATCCAATTTTCGCATACAGCGCATATATATTTAGTCGCTTGTCAAATCTCTCTCTCCTTATCTTATAAAACATATTGGTGGTATATATATGTATATACACCTAGTGCACAATTTACTATGAGATTACTTTACTACACTTTTAACTATTTTAAGAGGTGTTGTATATACTTCTTCTTCTTCTTAAGAAAAGTTGTTTTTGAATTTTTTTTTGTTTTTTATTCCTCTTTGATTGTAGGTGTAGCACATATTTTGCTTTTCTTCCTTCCCCTTTTCACCACACCCCCATTTTTTTGCCATATCACACGCGTATTTTTTAATGAATAGTGATACTTTCTTTCCCAAAACTAAATTCACTCGGTGAGGATGGGGATGATCGTGATGATGACGATGACATTTCTGTCTTCAGTTTTAAATGTATATTCAATAATATTAATAATACTTAGTATTTCCTTTTTTTATTATTTTGTCTTTACAAAATAAAAATTAGTTATTGATTAATATTCACTACTACTACTGCTTCGTCATTTTAGATTCCAGCAATTGTTTCAGTGTTTGAATATATACATAACTAGAGAACTCTATTGGTGATTCTTTTAGGGTAAGCTGAATGCATGATTGTGCGTGCCTGTGCCTGCGCCTGCGCGCATGCACATGTATGCATGCATGCATGCTCGAATTATCTATCTATCTATCCATATATACATAATATACACATGTATTATAAATTATAATAGAAATTGCCGTCTTGTTGCTGTGTTGTTGCTGTTGTTCTGTGTGTACACTTTTTGTACGCATTTAATGAGTTTAAATGATCTTCTGTGTCTGTGTGTTGTGTCCACTGCTGCCATTCTATCCCACCCTGAAAAAAAACCAAATTCACAAATAACTGATCCTCTGTGTGTGTGTGTGTGTGTGTGTGTATAGAAGCCTGTAAAATTTCACGTTTTCATTATTGGACGTTTGTGTCCTGTTTTTTTGTCTTTTTGAAGCAATACATCGGTATTGCTAATTTTGGTGCACATATCTATTAATTGGAGACATTTATTTTTGTTCTGGTAGTGTTTTTTTCTTTCATTTATTGCATGTCTTCTTATTCGAAGAGAACACACACCCACACCCACACGCACACATAATACTTATGCCTGGATTCTTCTTCAGAATCTAGACTACATCATTCAGGTGACTCAGATACTATGAAGTGAATTCTTTTATCACCCATAATATAATCCCGGTACAGTAGAAGTATCGTAGAGTTTCTTTATTGTCTTTCACTCAGTCATTGGATTGCGTCAGTTCCAATGATAGTAAACTGATATCAATCCCTGATCAACTCGTAAAAACATAACTAACTCTTACAAACCAAACTATAGAAAATTATTCTGATGCTCGCTAGTGACTTGCTACAGATTGGAGTTTCCTGAGTTCTAGTGAGAAGTCGTGACCAGTGAGGTCCAATTAGATATCACGTGTGTAGATGGATGTCCCACCAACGACAATGGTTGGGGTCGCGCTAAATCGCGAATTGGTAGAAGTTAGAATTCATGGGTTGGCCATTGAATCGGGTCCCAGTGGCTGAATGGTATACGAGCTAGCTTGCCTTGTAACCGGAAGGTCCTGGGTTCGAACCCTGGTGGTGGTTGCGTACAGCCGATGATTCCCAAAACTATGATGCAACAGCTTTCCAGTACTCCAGTGCTGGTTTTCAATGGTTCTCTAACTGATATCAATCTGTGATCAACTCGTAAAAAGAAAAATAAGCCTTGCAAACCAAACTATAGAAAATAATAATAAAAGTCGTCAGGGTTTATAATTCTTATGCATCATATTTAATCTTGTAAAGTCTTTCTTATATTAGTTTGTTTGCATAATGGTGTGTAGAAATAGTAAGGATGATAATAACTCACTTTTCTCTGTACTCTGTCTTAAGTGTACACGCGTCAAACTGTTGTTGTTGTTGTTGTTGTGGATTTGATTGACTGGTTAAGCCATGTTTTGGTTTGACGACCACTGGCTCTTTTCCAACCTGATCCATCATATGTCAGCTAACATTGCCCGTTGTCGAAGATGGCGATGACTAGGCTATTCATGCGTAACTTATGTCCTAACCATCCAACCCAGTCGATGTAACTTCACAGCCTCGTCTATTGATTTCCCCTCTTCACCTAGCGCTCGACGTCTAACCTCAATATTGCTCACTATATTATACCATTTCACATGAGAGATAGAACACAAGCACCTATGATCAAAGACAGCCAGCCAGCATTTTCAGGTCTTCCACTTTCAATGGCCAGGTCTCACAGCCATAAAGGAGAACGGAGCGGAGTGCTCCGTCCTACCTACCTAGGTGTACTGTATGGTGAAAAGGAATTCATGTCAATCGGTGAGACTGTGAATCTTCACTTATTGAAGTAGTTAAGACACATGTTGAGTGTGCCCAATCGGCATTTCTTATAAAAAATTATGTTAACTGAAGTAGGATTAAATCATAGGAGAGAAAGATCGTAGTACCAATCCCTGAAGTTTTTGAATTGTGATCTGGAACATATCATAGGGAGATGTTGGTTACCTGCCGGAGCTCCTCGATATTCTTAGAAAGTATCGTTTCAGTCAGTCTCTTGGTTAAGTATGACGCAGATCTATCCATTCACTCTTCATCATCTTTCAGCTGTTCAACATCCTTACTAATTGTCTTCGTGTAAATACTTTCACTTCGTTCACATTCATGCTTGTCATTTGTTGTGTTGTTTCTCTATGTCTGTTCTTCGCATATGTGTATGTGTGTGTGTGAGTGAGTGATTTTTTACAGTGTTGCATTTTGAACTGATGCACATTTGTGCAGAGTTCTATGTTGATTTATTTGTCTTGTGTAAATGCTAACATGGGTCACGAGGCGAACTAGTTTCTCAGCTTGTTAAAAGGATTTTATTTGCTTGGTTTTTGTGTTGCGTGTGAAGAATACTTTCAAGTGTCGTTGTGTCCTTCCTGATTGACGTGATTTCATCTCAAAATATGATAATGATTCGCATTTATTATTATTTTTTTTTATAATGTAATGCAATTTTCTATATCTTTGTTAGAAAAAACATAGAAGGCAATAGTATTTTAACATCCCTCTTAAAGCGTAACCCACCTCCCTTAAAATACATCAGTTTGAATCAGCACCACTGGGATATATTAGTGAAGACAAAGTATTTCTGATGCAATAAGTCAAATATAAAATAATGAAGATGCAATTTTATATGATCTCACTTCGAGGCCTGTTGTCTACTTATGACTATAAAACAGTATTTACTGTCACAGACTGACAAGACTTGTTTATTGAGACTGGTGAATATAGAGTTATGTAGCATCATTCATAATATAAAGTATGACTTATATCTTTCCACTAGTATAGCTTAAGATTATCATTTATTTACTTATTTATTTTTCGAGTTTGACCACGAATTGATATCAGTTAGAGAACCATTGAAAACCAGCACTGGAATACTGGACAACTGTTTCGTCCCAGTTTGGGACTCATCGACAGTACGCATTCACTGCGTTTCTGAACCCAGGACTTTTTGATTTCAAGGCAAGCTCGTATACCATTCAGCCAGTAGGACCTGATCCAATGGCTTATGAATTCTAACTTCTACTAATTGGTGAATTTAGCGCGGCTGCCAACAACTGTCCGGTACTCCCTAGTTTTCAATGGTTCCCTAACTAATATCAATCCGTGGGCAAACTCGAAAAACAAATCAACTCTTCAGAATTTATTTATTTATTTAGTTTATTTCTTTGAGTTCCAAGTGAAGCGTAGGGCTTAAAGCTTGAGTTTCGATTTTCGCTAGCAGTGGTGTTCATTTTTCTACTGGGTGGTGGGGTTGCTAGCCTCATGTCTAGCGGGCTTACTAGTGGCTAAGCGAAGTTCAGGAGTGTGTAGGCCAGGGATTGAACCTCAGACCATCTGTGGCGGTGTGGTTTGCGCGATTATTCTACCGTTCAACAACCACCACTAACACACACGACTAATTGTTATTAAAATAGGATTTTTAAACTTAAAAGTAGTCTTATTATATAATTTTATCACATTAATTTCATTTGTTTACCTAGTTTTTCTTTCTTTCTTTCTTTTATCTATTTATTTATTTTAGGCTTTAGGAACAAAACCTCCCTGAATAAACCACACCAACTTTCTTTTGATCATTATTACTCTGCTGTCTATTTCTTTTTTTTCGAGATTGATAAATTTTACATCGAAAATGTTGTATAAAAGTATTCCAGTTACTCAAAATATTTTGGAAGTTCTTGTTGGACTTGGACTTCTAATTTGCGAGATCTATAATTACTTTCACACTTTTTATTCCATTTATCACTTAGCATTAATGAGATGATTTATGAAATAGATTTCTATTAACAAAAACAACGACAACAACGACAGTAAGCTGTTGTGTGTGTGTGCGCGCGCCTGTGTGGGTGTCAATGGAAAGAAGAGTATGCTGCTAAGTAAGTTTCTTTTTTACCTTTCATTTCGGTATATTTGTTTTTTTTACGCATGCATATTTGTGTCCTCGTACTTGTCATACGTGATAATTTGTGTGAGTATCAGGTCACCGAACTACACGTCTTGTTGATAGATAGATATAAGGATTTGATAATACGTTACCACCAGTAGACAGGTCACACAGCAATGTAATGCAGTAGTACTGGACTTAGTTAGTGTACACTGTTATTAATGTTCTCAAGTGTCTACACGATACACACTTGCTATATATATCCAGCATAAAATATACGAAGACATATTATATTGCTCATGGACTAAGATAAAAGTTGTGCGTAATTCTGAATCTCGGATGGGACTTTTTACAATCAAGTATTTCGGGATAATAAATCACATCTCATGCGACGTCATTTAAAAGATAATTTCTTGAAAACTCTATTGAATAACGCGAACGGACGAAATATTTCTGGGTGTTGACAGATGATTTAATGTAATAAACTTGTGGTGAGAGCTGGCTGCGAACAAGCCAAAATTGTAGACAGAAATTTACGTCAATGTTAAGTCCAGAATCAGGGTCATAAGAGAAAAACAATAACAATGCTTAACCTAGAGAAAATCACCGACCAACCGCAGCACACTTCACGTGTGGAAATACGATTCACAGATATATGGCTTCATTTTCTGAGAAATGGTCACAAAAGCGATCACAGAATAACCTTTAGCAAGAAAACCACCAATGAGAAGACGTTTCATCTCCACTGGCAATAATGTACATAAAAATCCATAAATTTCTCTTGATTTCCTCAATAGAGGATGTGTTTCCTGGTCATTGTCTTCTGTCATTACAAACTTATTATATGACGGTTACTGTGTAATCTAGATTGAGTATGGCTTACAGTCAATAATAATGCTAATAATAATAATAGCTTTATTCCAGACAGCGTGTATAAAGTGTACCGAATTCTGAATAGGATTTATTGCATAATATATTTCCCCTTGTCCAACACCTTCAAATAAAGTAGCGATTGATAATAGGTCGCGTGATACAATCTCGTCTGACCTGAAGTAAAAACCAAACCCATATAATATTTCTTCTGTGTCCCCTTTGAAAAATGCACGGCATTCTGTCGGTAGTTGAAAGTCAATCTAAAAATGTGCAGGAGTACATTTTGTGACCTGAAGACATCATTGAATGACTAAAGGCTGCAGGCAGTTAGTGTTATTTCCTTGAGGTTAGCAGTTTGTACTAAAATCGTCGGAAACAGTTATCAAATGTATTCGGATAATTTGCAGCCTACAATTGTGCTTTTTTCCCTTCAAGTTTAGTAGAAACTTACGAATCAGTAGGCTGGAAACATTTTAAACACTTGCGGGAGTAAATAATTCAATCAGAGGTCATATTCCTATGGATTACAACAGTATGAACATGAGAAGAAATATGATAAAATATGATTGTGGTGGTTTTTTATAGCCCAAATTTTAAGCTGACTGACTGCTGTCATCAAATACACTGCCCTACTGGATCGGCGTAATGAATTCATAGAACGTATCACCTACCTACCTGATGACTGCAATATTTAGTCGTCTTTGAGTATAACAAGGTATAAAATCTTTTATACAAATTATATGATGATGTGCATAGGTTATTCAATTCATTTCATAATAATGTTTAATCATGTCTTTGCTAATACTTACCAGCTTCCTGTAAAGTTTTTTTTATTTTTCTCTATTTTAGAATTATTTTCAATCTTGCCAACTTTCTGCCGCCTACATCTACTGTGTTTGTTATGCGTGTACACATACACACACACGTCAATGCGCCAAGCAAGCTACTTAAATAAGCTTGAAATCTAAAGTGTACGAAAGATCTCCCTCGCCCCCCCATCCCTTGTTGTGTATGCTCACCCTGCTCTCTCTACCTTATTCCTCTTTTCTTAAACCAAATTATTTATCTGCTAATCATAACGCTTTTTATTAGAATATTATTTCTAATATTAGCTTCAATTGACAACTGATTGCTATTGATATTTATTACCCATTGTGTTTCAAGAAAGTTGTCTATCTAACCAACCAACCAACCAACTTGTCTTCTATTTCCGTGTTTGGTTGGTTTTAGTGTTGGCGTCCAGTAGAAAGCGACTTTTCTTTATCCTGTTCTTTATTTGAAGATAATATTTGTTTATTTATTTATTATTCAAACATTTGCTTATTTCACTCCATTTTTCTATGCATAACCTGTACACAAACCATAACATAATGATATGCTGACGATTGATGCATTAACCAGTAAAACATGACTATTTCTTATTTTCTTTCACCGTCTTTTTTGTTTTGTTTTCTTTTTTCTGTTTTGCCAAAACCTTTTTACACTCTAGTCAGTCAGTCAGTTAGTCAGTCGGTCAAACAATCACTTACTTACTTACTTACTCTTCACATTTGCTTACTGTATAGTATGATCGACTGATATATCTGACGTTAAGTCTTAGCTTTGACTTATTATTTATACCTATATTGCTGTTCTCTTTCTTTTTTGTTTTCTCTTTTGTGTGTGTGTGTGTGTGTGCAAATTAGCACGACGTCTTTCAAGACTCTTTTGTTTTATTTTGTTCATATTATATACTTGTGCAATTTAATAAGCTTTGATATAAACATTCATTCACATTTAATTGTTGATGATGATGATAATGAAAATGGTTAATTTCAATTCTTTTGCGAAACAAACTATTGCTCATTAGTATATATATATATATATATATATATATACATATTCTCTTTATATGATTATCACTACTACTCTTCTTATTATTATTGTTTTTCTGTCTCCTCTAATAATCTTATCCTGGTCGTTATTTGTCTTTCCCATGTTTTTCACTATTCACAGTCATCTTTTACAAACAGTTAATCAATCCCCACCCCCCTTTGTGGCTACAGTAATATTTTATTTTTTAAAGATTCCATTTCGGTTTCATATATATATATATACAGATATGTACATAAATATATTTTTATTGATTGCTGATGATCAATGATTTCGGCTTTCCTTAGTGCTCTCTCCTGCTCCTCCTCCTTCTCCTGCGTTATACACTTATTGTTATGCGTTATAATGTATCTCAGCACTCTTCACAGTTATATCCTAGTATATAATCGTAAATTGTATGAAGTAAGAGAGAAGAAACTCCCCCCCGTCCAATATATAAAAAACAAAAAGTTTGTCTTAACTTTTCCCACTCGCCAGTTTCCATGTTTCCTTTTCTTCTTCTTCTATTGCTGATGTTACCGCTACCGCTGCTGTTGTTGTGAATATACGCATATATATATTCCTGTCAGTAAAATTTTGAATTGTCTACCTACCTACCCACCTATCTATCAGTCAATCAAAGGAAATTTTTCCGGTTCTATTATTGATTATTTGTTTACTTATGTATGCTTGTTTATTATTATTTATGCTTGATGAATGTGTGTTTTATTTTCTTTCATATTGATTTCTTTTCATTTTTTAGACTATGTTAGAAATTTTCTTCCTTTTTAATTATTTTTCTATTCAAATTAAGAATAGCATTATACGAAAATAATCTCTGTGTGTGTTGCTATCCCTCATCATCAATAAACAGTGTGTATGTATGTGTGTATGTATCTAGTGGTGTGAACATGATGATGAGACATTGATGGATGGATTTGTTATGATGAATATATATATCCCACTATTGTCGTTGTTCCCCCACTCCCCGCCTGCTCCGCCTTCAACCTATCCTGCTTCTTCTTCTCTATTTGTAATTTCTTCTCACTTCACATTTGATTTCCCTATCACAGCCTATCCACACACCCCCCCCCCACCGTTTTATTCAGCATATCTTATATGCATTAATCAAAGGTGTTTAGGTGATATGATATGAGTCTATATCGTACTATATTTCGTCTCAAAAGAAAAACACCTGACCTGATTTATGTATGCTACTTGTTTGATGGTTACACTTTTAAATTAAACCTGCTTCATGTTTTATATATATATATATATATTTAAACAAAACCCTTTGTTGTTTCTTTTTCTTGTTTGTTTTGTTTTGTTTTTGAGTTCCTTTAGTTATTTGACTTCAGTTATTCCTTATAATTTTGTTTGTGAACAGAGGTGTATTGAGAAAAAAATAAATCTATTTCGTATTTTAGTGTATACCTCTTTTTCGTGTGTGTGTGTGTATGTGTGTGCGCCAATATTATAGATAGTACCACTTTATGATTTATTGTTTCTATGCATATATCTACTTTTCCGCGTATTATTATTATTGTTTAGCTAACAATCACCTGAAGATTGTTGATTCTAGGTTCATAAGGGAAAATTGCATTTGAATCCCTTTTTTACAGAGTGACCGTTGTTTGGATTAGTCTCCAGGTATTGGTTTTGTAGGGATTTTGTTTTGATTGCATGGAGGACTTAATCATGAGCTGACATCAGTTAGAGAACCGCTGGAAAACCTGGGAGTACTGGACAGATGTTTCGTCCTAGTTCGGGACTCTTCCGCGGTACGTGCCCACCGGGGTTCGAACCCAGGACCTTCTGGTTACATGACGAGCTCGCAGACCATTCAGTCACTGGGACCCGATCCAATGTTTCTTGAGTTCTAACTTCTGCCAATTCACGACATAGAGCGACCATTTCGCAATGTCTTCTTGGATGAGTTACTGCCTCATCTTCAACCTGCTTCATTCTACTTGTCACAGCTTCCCACTAGAACCCCAGGTTAACTGCCTGAATAGGGCTAGTCGCTAGTAAGCAT